TGAGTCAAATTTCATGGGGTTTGGTCAATAATTAACCCAGATATTGAGAAACAAAACTTTTGGCCCCATTTACCACAATGTTAACTAAAATTTCAAAGTGATCCAGAATCCAGGATTTCTTCCGGATCACCCCCAAAATGAAATCAGTTCTTCCTTTTCACATTTCCAACAAATCCTGAAAATTTCATCAAAATCGGTCCATAACTTTTTGAGTTATGTTGCTAACAGACAAACAAACAAACAAACAAACAAACAAACAAACAGACAAACAACAAACAGACAAACAAACAGACAAACGCCGGCAAAAACATAACCTCCTTGGCGGAGGTAACCAGGACTGAACCAGGTCCAAACCAGGATTAAACCAGGACTAAACCAGGACTGAACCAGGTCTAAACCAGGACTAAACCAGGACTAAACCAGGACTGAACCAGGTCTAAACCAGGACTAAACCAGGACTAAACCGGTCTCAGTCCCGGTCTGGTTCTGTTCTGGTCTCAGTCCCAGTGTGGTCCCGGTGTAGTCCTGGTCTGGTCCCGAATCAATAATGACAAATAATGAAGAAAATAGTTCTGTTTTTTGTTTTCAAATTTTTGAAAAACGAATGAACGAATGACGAAAACAGCGTAAAATTGTCCGTTTAAACTTACAGTGTGTAGATATAAAGAATAAAACAGGTAATTACAAAACTGTGATCGTCCGTCCACTAAACACGTAAATAAGAACGACTTTTTACGTCTGAAAACTGGATCTGAAGCGCGCTGAAGTCGTCAGAGTTCACAAAGAGCAGAGAGCAGGCGGTGTAAATGTCATTACGCTCGGACCCTGTGAATCCATAACGCGCTGGAGTGAGGCTGGATTAGATTTACACGCACTCCCCTCGGATCAGGAAGTGCGCAGGGATATATTTAATGCAATATTACTTCTGTTGCTATCGGAAACGCTGGGTAAATTTGTCTTGGCTCGGTCTTGACTTCGGATCTGACGGAGTCGGGGTAAAGTTTCCAGGAGTTTGAAAGTTGTTCTGTTTCTATTTGTGGTAAAGCTGCACTGTGTAACTTTTCGGCAGGGGGTCCGTCACCTTCTTGTTTCTATGGATACGTCATTGCTCTACATGGAATGTTCCACAAAGTGACTTTAAACAGCTCGACTTTACATTTATTCAATTACAAGTGGTTTTAAAGCTCAAAAACACCTTGAAAAACAAACATTCTGACTGTGAGCGGGGTCGCCTCTCCACAGATCTGACCTGTAACTTGAGGTTTGGTCTCCATGAAGATAAAAAGGTTTAATGCCACACTGTGAAACATTCCAGACAAATTACAAACATCTCCACGGAGAAAAGCATTTGACGGACCTTCCAGAGGAAAAGTTACTCCAAAAGCCGACAACTTTAAGGATTTGCACTTCTGATTTCATTTCATTATCACTAAAAAGAAAAGCGCAGATTCAAGAAAACTGAAAAATAAGCAGGTTATTTTATTTCCAAACAACCTTAAACCTTAAACATCTTTAATCTCTTATTTTCAAGACGCCATTTTGCCGATCTACACCTGTTTTCACCAACGCAGGTACACGCTCACTGTGACGTACACACTTCCATCTCCGGTTTTATTTTCCAAATTGGTGATACATGTAGGATTTGGCAGCGTCGCAGATTCATTTTGCTACAAATGTTTTAAATCTTCGGCTCTAGTGTGACATGTGGCGCTTCATTGTGATGACATTTACAACAAAGAGTTTTACAGCTTCGATTGGACATTAGGATCGTACAAAAATATCAAAATATGGATAAATCGTATCGTTTAATGTAGGGAGTAGGGATGGGCATTTGATGAAATTTTCTTAATCGATCGTGGGAAGAATTAACGATCGATTATCGATTAATCATTAACGTTTTTATATTAAAATGATCATCATTATTATTTCTATCTGCACTACTAATCTGCATAAATAAATTCAACTTTACGACATATAAACCATAACGACTCTAGAGCCACATCAGCCCGTTTGACATTATAATGTGTTTAATTCAGTTTTGTTCAACTCTCACAGAAACAAAACTTAAAACCACATCGCTAATTTGCATAAACTAAACGAAGATAAAACTACAGCTCTTGTGTCTCTGATGTGGTTCAATTTCTGTCAGATTAACTGACATGACTCAGGTGAATACAGGTTAGTGTGACCAGATTTGTGTTTGTCAAAACCAGGACAGCGTACGGGGGGAGGGGGGTGGGGACTCGTCATCCACATTGAGCGACTCTCACCTGGTAAAACTTTTTCCCACTGGACACCGAAACATATGTGCTGCTTTATACACTGTGCACATGGACTCACACTTGTCCCGAACGCAACAGAAAGCCTGGAATTTCTTGTACAAATCATTGTTAAAAACACATTTGTGCTTCGGTACGTTGCAGACTGACCCACTGTTTGTGTCTCGCTCCTTCTGATGCAGAGACACATGTACACACCTGTTTGGTCACACTACACACAGGAACATACATTCGGTTTGTCGATTAAAATTAAACGTAATCAATGAAATTCTTAATGATCAATTATCGATTAATCGACTAATCATGCCCATCCCTAGTTTAATGTGATGATACAGTATTGATATCGTGAGCTGCTGTATCGATATATAGCCAAGAGTATTTTTTGATTTATTTTACTGAATTATTTTGTGACAGTTACAGTTTCATTGTTTGTTCAGATGAAGGAAACTCGTTTATGCGACACATTTGACATTTTCACTGTTTTGATGATTAAAATGTTTGTGTTTCATATGAACTTTGCACAAGAAGTGGTTTAACAAAGACTTTTAGTATCACAGCCGTGATTTAGTCTTTATTTTTTATTGAACCGTATTGAATCTATTTTAAAATATATCATATCGAACCAAAAGTGCACTGTATTGAGATATGTATCGTATCAGAAACTTGTTAATGATCCCCCAGGTCTATTGGACACCACAGTTTTCTAACGTGAAGTCAGCATTTCTTTTATTAAGTTGTTTTAGAAAAGGGGTGTCCAAACTTTTTTCATCGAGGGCCACAGATCTAAACACAGATGGAGCAGAGGGCTGATCGAGGGCTGCAGACTGGTGCTCAGTACAGTGAATAATTTACATATGTGCATGTTTAACATGTTAGAATGAGCCGTCAGTCTTTATTCATGCTAAGATCCTTAAAACCACAAACTAAATATTCAATATAAACTTTATCAAAGAAGATTTTCAATATGCTTGCAGTAAAAAGTAAATTCTTAATTGATGCAAGGTAATTTGGGCCAATTCACCCCTACAGATTATAGATTGATATTGATATGTCATGCTTTTTAAAACTACATGGATGTAACAAACACATCCTGAAAATTCTTGTTTTTTCTCTTCAAATTGTCTGTTGAGGCCAGATCTCCATGAACACTTTTGTTTTACTGTAGAGAAACAAAGACGAGGATTTTAACATGAGATTTTTTATCTGCTAAAAGACAATAAAAAGTCCAGACTTTCCTTCAACATGTTAAAAATATTATTGATAGAGAAATGATTTTTATATGAGATCACTGCTGCTTTAAATTATGTCCACACTACTGTGGACATAACAATATAATAATAAAGTGTCATATTGTTTAGTCCTGGTTTAGACCTGGTTTAGTCCTGGTTTAGACCTGGTTTAGACCTGCTTTTAGTCCTGGTTTAGACCTGCTTTAGTCCTGGTTTAGTCCTGGTTTAGACCTGGTTTTAGTCCTGGTTTAGACCTGGTTTAGTCCTGGTTTAGACCTGGTTTAGTCCTGGTTTAGGCCTGGTTTGGTCCTGGTTTAGACCTGGTTTAGTCCTGGTTTAGATCTGGTTTAGACCTGGTTTAGACCTGGCATAGTCCTGGTTTAGACCTGGTTTAGTCCTGGTTTAGATCTGGTTTAGACCTGGTTTAGACCTGGCATAGTCCTGGTTTAGACCTGGTTTAGATCTGGTTTAGACCTGGTTTAGACCTGGCATAGTCCTGGTTTAGACCTGGTTTAGACCTGGTTTAGTCCTGGTTTAGATCTGGTTTAGACCTGGTTTAGACCTGGCATAGTCCTGGTTTAGACCTGGTTTAGATCTGGTTTAGACCTGGTTTAGACCTGGTTTAGACCTGGCATAGTCCTGGTTTAGACCTGGTTTAGACCTGGTTTAGTCCTGGTTTAGACCTGGTTTAGACCTGGTTTAGTCCTGGTTTAGACCTGGTTTAGTCCTGGTTTAGATCTGGTTTAGACCTGGTTTAGACCTGGCATAGTCCTGGTTTAGACCTGGTTTAGATCTGGTTTAGACCTGGTTTAGACCTGGCATAGTCCTGGTTTAGACCTGGTTTAGACCTGGTTTAGTCCTGGTTTAGATCTGGTTTAGACCTGGTTTAGACCTGGCATAGTCCTGGTTTAGACCTGGCATAGTCCTGGTTTAGACCTGGTTTAGACCTGGTTTAGTCCTGGTTTAGACCTGGTTTAGTCCTGGTTTAGACCTGGTTTAGTCCTGGTTTAGCCCAAAATGTGAAAACAGGAAAATACCGCTGTGTAATCCATTTATTTCAACAAAGTAAATGTAATCCAATTACCACTCACTGAAACAGTAACTGTAAGTGAATACAGTTACTCATAATTTGTACTCTGATTACTTAACGCCGCTACATGTAATCTGTTACTCTCCAACACTGACTGTATGCGCACAGATTTCCTCCGGAAAACGCTCGTCTAAACTCGGAATAAAAAGTGAAGACGCGACGCCACTTTTGCTTCTTCTGTTCAGACCGTCGTCGTATAAACGTTGCCTTAAATCGTGATCTAAATTTTAACATAATGATCCACGAGTGTCGTAGAGCAAACACAAGCACAGTAGTTCTTCTGTAAGTGTTTGTTCACGCTTCATTAAGGCGAATTAAAGTGTAGTTATTGTTCTCGTGTCTGTTGTTATGTCATATCATGTCAGAGTTAACTTGTATTTTCTTTTGTTTTGTGTCCGTCAGGTGTGTGTGGCTGCGGACAGTGAGTAGCGGGAGCATGGCGGCAGGTGAGACGATCGATAATGTAATGTTTGTTTGTTTTTTTGTTTGTTTGTGTGAAGGTCAAAGCTCCATCTGCATCTGCTCAGAAACACCGACAATCTACACGAACAAATGTTTCAATCCGACAATGCAGCACACAAAAAAAAAATATATATCAGTGTACTGAAGTTTTAAGAAATATGGTGAGATTTATTCAAACATTCCTCCTTCTGGTAATAATTCTTCTGTAGAATAAACTGAAGAGAAGAGGCTGAAGTTCCAACGCAGGAGAAGTTTATTTTCAGCAGCACAGAACCCGGAGATATTTGTCCTCAAGAGACTGTGATACTTTTGTGTATTGTCCATTCCTGTCTTTATCATTGTTGGGAGTATTATACCTCTAAAAGCTGGAAGTCAGTGAAATTTCTCTAACATTTTTTTTTTAAGTTTCTGGTAATGGATCTGAAACTTAGTCTGTAATTTTGACATTTTTTCTCAAATTTTTGAGTGAATTAACTGACCCATGTGTGAAAGATGTCATTTGCCACGCTTACATGAGAGCTTTAATTCTGAATAAAAATAAATTCCGCTTTAAAAAGACCACATAAACCAGCGGTGTCCAAACTTTTTTCATCAAGGGCCACATATCAAAACACAGACGAAGCAGAGGGCCGGTCGAGGGCCATAGACCGGTGCACATTACAGTGAATAATTGAAATATGTGCATGTTTAACACATTAGAATGAGCCATCAGTCCTTTATTCATCCTAAGATCCTTAAAACCCACACACTAAATATTAAATATTGGCTTTATAAAGGTAGATTTTCAAAAAACTTGCAATAAAAAGTTAATCTTTCATTGTTGCAAGGTAATTTGGTCCAATCCTGCCAGAAGCCTGAGGGCCAAGAAAAGTTTGTCTTAGGGCCGCATTTGGCCCACAGGCCATAGTTTTGACATGCCTGACGTAAACACTTATTTCCTAATGAAGATGATTATTTGGAATTAAACTTAATTCTGAAGTAATTGGGTTGTTTATGCCGAAATGTTTATTCTTCTTAAAAATAATCCTGGTGGTTCAGTTCATGTTCGTTGTGTCGTCCTTCGATCCGGCTCCACCAGTCGTGTCTTCGGACTTTCCTCCACGTCTCTTTGGATTTGTGAGCAGGATGTGGGAGTGGGCTGAGGTAGAGCAGCCTCACACTCACTTTGTCTTCTTCCTCTCTTCTCCGACACTCTTCCCTTCTCCTCCTCAGCCGACAGACGGAAAGCGCGATGAGACAATTCTCCAGCTACTGCTTCACAATTATCGGAATGACCGCGAAAAAAGTTTGGATCATGTTTGTGTCTGTAGCATAACGACAAACCGAGATGACAGAAAAGCCGGGAGCTGCTGAAGTGTTTGTGTTTTCTTCCGATTGATGTAAATCCGTTGGTGTCTCTGTCCAATCAGAACCTTCCCCACCCCCAGACACTGAATGGAATTAAATAAAGATGATTTAACGAGTTTTCCAGTAAACCTCAATTCAGAATTATTATTTATTATTTATTTATTTTTAAGCAGAATATTTTAATTCCGAACTATTTAATTCACAACAATTAATTCGGAAGTAAAAAACATCATGTAAACGTGGCCACTGACATCACAAAAGAAGCATTTTACATGTTGTGTTATCATCAACTTATAGAAAAACTATGGAAATATATTTAGAATTGAAGCAGTCTCTCTTTTCTTTTTAATGTTCTTGACCTCTCTGTTCTCTGATGTTGGTCTCTTGTAGCGTTCCTGGGCGGTCAGGACGCTCACTCCGTCCTGAAGCGCTTTCCTCGGGCCAACGCTTTTCTGGAGGAGTTGCGTCAGGGAAACCTGGAACGAGAGTGTGTGGAGGAGAGCTGCAGCTTCGAGGAGGCCAACGAGGTGTTTGAGAACAAAGAGAAGACTGTGAGTGTCCACAGACACGACTGAAATGTTCCCATGATTATTACAGACTACAAAGAGACAGACAGTACCTAAACCAATGAGGCGATACAGAATTATTTTCAAGCAATCTTCAGCTTAATCTTATGTAATGTCACCTAAGGATGTGCAATTAATCAAATATAAAGGATTTTCCTGCTTGTCCCCATGGAAATAGATAACTTTAATGGAATAACAGTGGAGTTTAATATGGAATTTATTCATGTTATTAGGTTCTTTTTCAGACCAAGAGTTTGTTTTCATACCAGACAGTTTAGGTTAGGTTAGGTTCAGTTGCTTTATTCGTACCTGTAGGTAAATTTGTTTTGCAGATTTGAGAGGCTGGTTCCACATTTCACATTTCATTGATCCACAAAACACGTATGAAAACTAGGGCCGGGCACGTTAACGCGTTAACTTTGCGTTAACTAATTAAGTCATTAACGCCGACAATTATTTTAACGCCGTTAACACAGTTTTTATTATTTATTTATTTATTTTATTGTAAACGTCTGTTTCTCACTGGCTTTTATTTTGAAAAAGTCCACCGCGAGCGTTTCTTTAAGTTTGACGTCTTTTCTTTACACTTTTTTCACTTTTTTCTGACCACGTGAGATGCAATGTGTCCGAGCCTCCACGAGAGCCGCGGGTTTGGTCGGGGGCTCCGGCTCCGGCTCCGGCAGCGGGTTCAGCCGCGGGTTCAGCCACGGGCACCGGCTCTGGCCGGACCATCCGTGCGCTCTGAGCTGAGTTTATTTCTTTAGTTCAGTGCTGGAGTCACTGATTTACCCAGATACCACTGGAAGAAAAAATGTGATTGGTCCATTTCCATTCCATTATATTAACCCTTTGTTTCCTAAAAAATATCAGTCCAAGTTTATAACACTGATCTAGAAATTATTACTAGTGTAGTGTTCATTACTCACAGCATAAAAAATATTCAATAAATATATTAGTAGTACAAACGTCCATTCCATATTTTTTCTTGAGCCTTCCCTGAACACCTTGAAGACTCTGAGGTTCCCCTGGGAAAGAAATGCTGTTTACACAACAAATGTTTGGCTCTTTCATTTACATTTCCAATAAAAGAGCGCTATACTCTACTTTTTAATTCATTAATTGGTTTTGCGTATAACATGCGATTAATCGAGATTAATCGCTCGAACTCATGCGATTAATCGCGATTAAAAAAAATTATTTTTGCCCAGCCCTAATAAAAACACAATTACAAAATAAAGTGTTACAGAGCTCCAGTGCAGAATGGTTTGTTCCATAAACAATTAGTTACATTCATCCATCACACTTGGCTAAAATCACAAAAAATATTAAATATGTTAAAAACACACAATCTTAGATAAATAGATTACAATTGATTCATAAGTACGACAGCAGCTGGAACGAAGCTCCTTCTAAAACGATTCGTTCTAGATCTTGGGACTAAAAGACTCTGACCAGAGGGAAGCAGCTGAAACTCTGAGTTTAGTGGATGTTTCACGTCTCTTAAAATACTCTGTACTCGAGACACTTACAGAAGACGTCCCAGAGACTCCAGCGGCTCTGAGGATGAACAATCACCTACTCGCCCATTTAACCGACTGATTCAGGGAGTTCTTGTTTTTAGCAGAAATGCTCCCAAACCACGAGACCAATGGAAACATTAAAACTAGGGCTGGGTATCATTAAGAAGTTGCCGATACGATACATATCTCGATACACAGGCCATGATACGATACATATCTCGATACAGTGCACTTTTGATTCGATATGATATATTTCAAATCGATTCGATACAGTTCAATAAAAAATAAAGGCTAAATCACGGCTGTGATACTAAAAGTCTTTGTTAAACCACTTCTTCTTGTGTAAAGTTCATATGAAACACAAACATTTTAATCATCAAAACAGTGAAAATGTCAAATGTGTTGCATAAATGAGTTTCCTTTCACTCCACAAGCAAAAAAACTGTAGCTCTGTAACAAAATAATTTAGTAAAACACACCTAAAAATACTCTTGGAGATATATCGATACAGCAGCCCACGATAGCGATACTGTATCATCACATTAAACTATACGATATATCGATATTCCGATATTTTTGCACACCCCTAGTTAAAACAGATCCAATAAATGTTTTCTAAAACAGTGTCCTCATGGTTCTGTCTGCACGGTAAAAGGAAAACTTTCTCAGACAGTGAAGGCGCTGGTGCCTCTTTTACACACACCAGAACAATTATCATCAAAACTCAATTTTGAATCAATGAGTGTTTCAAGATATTTATATGAATCCACACACTCAACTGACTAACCTTTTATCACACTGAGGCGCTCGCTTTCGAAAGTCAATAATCATATCTTTCTACTGCTCCCTGCGTTCTTTCTCATAGTCATGTGAGCTGATTTAAACAGGTTTTGGCGCTGTCTTCCTACCGGTGGAGGCAGGACGACAGTGCCATCTGCAGTCCCACTTCCTCATGAAGTATTACCACTCTGAGGAAAACAGCAAGTGAGAATTCGAAACGAAAAGAACCTACCGTATTTTCCGGGCTATTAGGAGCTCTGGATTATAAGGCCCATTGTTATTAAATGGTCTATTTTTGAACTTTTTTCACAAATAAACCACGTGGGACTTTAAATGAAACCCAACACTGTGATGGGTGAGTGGTTTTGTTTGTTTGTGGTGTTCACAGTGACTCTGGGCTTTGTTCAGTTGTGGCGTGTAGGGAGGGTGCTGTCTGGGACCAACAGATTGTCGGCGAGTTCGCAGTGACTCAGTTGTTCAGTTGTGTCTAGAAGTGGCACATTGCACTCGCTTTTTCGGTTCCTTCCTCTGTTCCGTTCCTCGTCGACGTGGAGTGATGAGTGTGTCTGTGGGTGTGTTTCGCTGTGCGGTCGCTGTCTGCTCCGTGTGTGTTTGCGAGTGGTGCGGCTTAGTACTTTACTGAAGTCGTACTGGGACACCTGAGTGGATTCGTGTATGGGGCGCTCTGTGGGGCGCAGTCATTTTTTGATGGGGTTAGAGGCTTAAGAGCGCGTCTAATAGCCCGGAAAATACGGTAATAAGATAAATTGTCAGAAGACCAAATGAACCTCATTTTACTATGGAGTTTAAAAACACATTTCATCATTTCCCACATAACACGTATTAACACATAACATCACAGGTATGTCACATTAACAGACAGGCCGCATAGCCAAAGTTCTACAGTGAGCCAGGGGTCTATGTTTATCTACTTAGCAGACGCTTTTATCCAGAGTGCTTCCTAAAAGCAGAGTTGCTAACCTGTTATAGTAACTTAGGCTGCGTTCAGACTGCAGCCTGAAGTGACCGAAATCAGATTTTTTAGCCACTATGTGACCTGTATCTGATCTTTTTATGACAGTCTGAACCACACAGATCAGATTTTTTCAAATGTGACCCAGGACACTTGGATATGTGCTCCTGAAACTGATACATATCTGATCTTTTGACATGTGACATCAGTCTGAATGGCCAAAGTGCATTCATCCACCTACACGTTATCAACAAGACACAAACGTCATTATTCTGCTCTGAAGTAGGCGAAAATTGTTAATGAACTCCGTGTCACTGAAGTGAAGCACATCTCCACTCACCACTCTTGGCTCCGTCTCCACATCCACATGTTCCTTTCAACGGACGTCGCTGCCGCTGTCCCACAAAACACCACGACCAAAAACCTCGTCCTTCTCCTTCTCAATCTCCTCCTTAAAACAAGTAAGTTGTTCATGTTCTGGCTCCAGTACGAGAGGAACTTTAAAATCTCCAGGTGCTTGATGCTGCGTCCATGTTTCGAACAACTTCCATAAACACAGAGCACGCTCGCTGCGGTTGACATCGTCGTGTCTCCAGTGTCACATGCGGGACACTTTTGGCATGTTTACTGTTCACACTGGAGTCACATACAAGTCACATTTAACTGGAAATGTGAACGACCTCGAAAAAACATCGGATTTCACAAAAAAATCGGAATTGAGTGTTAAGCCCTGCAGTCTGAACGTAGCCTTAGTTGTCGGTATCAACAGTTAACGTGAAGGCTCGTGCCGCGCTGTTGTCAACTAATTTGTTCATTTGGTTGCTTTCATTGTCAGCGTACGTACTGGAGAGGCTCTGATCACATTCTAACATCATTCTGTTTATGTGTATTTAATATAACGCTGGAATGTACATATAAATGATACTTACGGACATAACTCTCGTGAAACACATGTATTGCCGCTTTGGTTTGAACACAGACAGAACAGACTTTTGCAAAGAAAAAGCAGGAGAGTGCAAAACTCTTAACAGGAATGTCCATTAGGGAGTTTCTGTTGCACGTCTGGAACGCCCCCGCTGCACCGACCCTCCTCTTTAAACTGGATAAATTCACACGTCTGATTTCTCTGTCACTCTTTGTCTTGTATTTTCAGATGGAGTTCTGGAAGACCCGCAGTTTATATACGGTGAGCAGCGGTGAGCGGTCCGAGCGCGCCGACACCGTCTACATGGTGATCCCTCTGCTGGGCGTGGCTCTCCTCATCATCATCGGCCTCTTTCTGCTCTGGAGGTGTCAGCTGCAGAAGGCCACGCGACGCCGCCCCGCCTACCCCCACAACCGCTACCTTTCCTCGGGCCGGTCCTCGCGCAGCCTCCCCCGCATCCTGGTTCACCGAGACCACCTCCACGAGACTGAGTCCGCCACGGCCGCGCGATCCGGTAACGCCAACAGCGTCGCGATAGCTCAGACCACCAACAGCAGCCACCGGACTTCCTTCGGCCAGTCGAGCCGCCTCTATGTTCAGGATGCGTCCGTTTCCGTGGCGTCCCGTCTGTCTGGAGCCACGCCCCCTCCGTCGTACGAGGAAGTGACGGGGCACGTGGAGAGCAGCGGCGACGAAAACTCGGCGCCGTCTTACAATGACCCTCCACCGAAATACGAAGAGATCATCAAGGAAAAGTGAAACTAAACCAGAGTTTGATCCGTTTGGAAACCCGAGCGTCGGACAGTTGACGCTCGGGTGTGTGACGTCTCACCGGCAAAATCAGCGGACGGTTTTGGTGAGAATTTTCTGTGCCAAGTTGCTTTGTTTTTGCCGCACAGTTCTCGGTGATGCTGTGTTGCCGGTGTCGGTGACGTCGTGGTGATTTTGGTGATTTTTTTTGGATTCAGAAACAAACGTCCAAAAAAAAAAAGAACGTTGTCAAGGAAAAGTGAAGTGGTACACAAGAACTGGCTTAAGCCTTATTGATACTTTGCAGTGATATGACGCTGGGGGTGTTCTACATGTATTTCTATGGCGGAATGTGTAGAAGTTAGCATGGGGACGCAGTGCACACATTTGCAAACACAGCCTAAAGAGTTTTAAAACACAAAATGGATTTAAACACACGTTTTTACGACCCTGTGGTCAAAATGAGCGTTCATGGTTCTGTTTAGGAGTTTGATTTTCAACAAAAAAAATTTGAAAGTGTTTAACTCAGGGGTCTCCAACCTATGGCTCTCCACCTCCTTACAAGTAGCTCACCAAAGGATTATACGTACTCAAATTTGATTAATTTCCACCGTAAATGTATTATTTTGACCTTTGTGCACTAATAAATGGATAATGGTTTGATGTTTTATAGACATCTAACTGTACATCTAAGACTCTTATATTGAATACATTTTTTTGCAGCCACAAAAATGAGTAGCGCTTCGGCATTTTCATTTTGTAAAGGTAGCTCGCCGGACGCAAAAGGTTGGAGATCCCTGGTTTAACTTGTTTAACAGCACAAATCATCTCACCTGATGTAGTTACGACTAAAGGCCGCCACACACGACAGGAGAATTTGCCCGATTTTGGCTGCGATTTCTTCTTCCTGAGTTCAGGGAGGCGTGACCCGACATTTTGTCTTCGTGGGTGATTTTGTAGCCGCTGCGCTCCTCGTGTTTGTGGTGTCAGTGTCAGATTGTAACCACGAAACATTAGCGACTCTACGGCAACTGCCAATAAAACAGAGTGTGATGGACACAGAGATGCAAGATACAAACTCGGGATTTAAAGTTGTAAATTTAAACTGCAGCGTCTCATCCACATTATTTGTGGAAGTTGTCCTGCACAAATAATGACCCCAGTCCACAAAAACAGCACTCTTAATCCAGTGTGAGTCGTTCTTTAAAAGTAAAAAGGCCGGAGTAGTTCCTCACGTGTGTCTGTTTACATCCACACAGCGCACGGATCGAGGTGAAGCTGCAGATCAGCGACAGTGACTCTACTTCCTTTGGACTTTATCTCCAATCTTTTATGCTTTAAAAATCGCGCATCTGAAGTTTTGCACCACATTTCACAAATAAAAATAACACAGTTTTGTACGGAAGCCGAGAGGGATCACAACAAAGTCAACAAACCTAACCCTAACCCTAACCCTAACCCTTCCGTAGTTTTGACTTGTGTCTAAACTAGAAGTGCAAAGTCTGATCTTTTGAACACTTCAGAGTCTCAGAGCGAGCGGTTTTACTGTCGACAAACAGGAAACAGCTGACGTGATCTGTGCTTTTAACTTTATACCCTTTGGTCCGCAGACAGATCCCGCTGCAGTCTTTGCGATCGGAGATTTTAAGTCTCATCAGATTCTCCTCGTGTCTGAAAATCGCTTAAGACCGAAAAATCCTGTAATGTGCAGCGGCCTTAAACCAGCTCTTTCTGGTCAGATTGTGTTCAAATAAAGCTCTGATTAAACTCTAACTTGAGTCACAGAGCTTCAGACATAGCAGTGCTTTCAGTTTGCGTCATACCCCCAGAGAATTTTGACGCCACCAGCTGCAAAGTATCAATACAATTTTGTTGTTGGCGCACTTTGGAAAACGTGTACGTTCAACTGCCTCTTTAAACAATCCTTTGCCAAAATGAAAACAGTGAAGCTCTGGCGACATCTGGAAGCTTCTGAATGTGTCGAGCTGTTGTTTACACTGAGGTCACGTGACTCTCGATTTGTTTATCGGCTCCCTGATTCACATTTTTCTGTAAATTAGAAAGAACAGGAGCCTTCACGTCCCCTTAGTACGGACGGGAAAATTAAGGGTCACGACTTTTTAAACGTGACTGAAAATTGAAAGTGAAGTTATCAGAAACCAAAGCCTTCAAACCAGTAATTGTAAAGGATTGTTTGAATAATGGAACTAAAATACATCGAATAACACACCCAGACCATAGACTGTATTTAAATTATAGAAATATATCATGTACTTGACTTCCGTGACTGCAATACCGGACTGAACTAGGACTAAAACAGGACTAAACCAGGTCTGGGACCAGCTCTGGACTGAGACCAGGACTGAGACCAGGACTGAGGCTAAGACCAGGCCGGGACCAGACCGGGACTGAGACCAGGACTGAAACTGGGACCAGACCAAGACTGAGACCAGGACTGAGATCAGGACTGAGACTGGGACCAAACCAGGACTTGAAACTGGGACCAGACCGGGACTGAGACCAGGACTGAAACTGGGACCAGACCGAGACTGAGACCAGGACTGAGATCAGGACTGAGACTGGGACCAAACCAGGACTTGAAACTGGGACCAAACTAGGACTGAGACCGGGACCAGGCTGGGACCAGACTGGGACTGAGACCAGGACTGAGACCAGGACTGAAACTGGGACCAGACTGGGACTGAGACCGGGACTGAGACCAGGCCTGAGACTGAGACCAGGACTGAGACCAAGACTGAGACCAGGATTGAGACCGGGACTGGGACCGGGACTGGGACCGAGACTGAGACCGGGACTGAGACTGAGACCAGACCAGAACTAAAAATGGTTTAGTCCTGGTCCTGATTCAAAGTCCTGGTTCGGTTCGTATGCGGCGCAAAAGTCCCGTATCGCAGTCAAGTAAATGAGAAACGGTCGTTATCCGTTTTTTCCATTTTTCTTTTAAACACAAAATCGAAAACTGAAAAAATGTATCTTTATCTGTTTGTTTTGGAGACAAATAATGAAGAAAATAGCTGTTTTTTCATTTTCTTATTTTTGGTTTTATATTGAAAAACAAATGATATGTGGATTCTTCAGTCTGCAGTCTGAACTTAATCCACTTCTTTATACAGTCTGTGGTCCAGACTAGTTAAATTCTTCATTTTGTGTAGTTTTGACTTAACTGAATTAAGTCCAAACTACTCAGATGAAGAATACTGAACAGAACTCAGTGTGTTTTAACAGATTAAACAGTTTTGTAGTGATTTTACAAAGAGCAGAGTCAAACTTGCAGCTTTCGTGTAACAACTTTAGCCTTAAAAACAAAAACGTCGACGCCGATTCTTTCATCGTTTTTGATCCAACTTCCCAACATAAAACAGCCATCGTCATCTTTATCCTATGTGGCCAACGAAGGAGGAAGCAACGCGAGGCTCTGAGGGGAGAAAGGACGCCCCCGTGTGGTCACAGTGGAGATAACGGCCTTTAAACGGGACTTTTGCATAGGACTGGAGTTACGGTTCAGTTTGTGTTCGCTGCTTTGCTCGTGGTGCTTGTGGAGTGTTTAAAATGTGACCATGACTGCAGGAGAGTAGACGGGGGGGGGGTAAAAGGGTCTGTTGTCCCGGGCCCCAGGGTTTCAGGGGCCCGGAATTGGACCCTAGAAGAAAATGACCTGTGCTTGTCCACAAAAACACGTGGTTTTACAATTTTGTCAAGTTTTAGGTTTATTTAATGCATCGTTTTGTTTTTTTCATATTGATTTGCTGTGAGATCGTGCTGGGGGTGTTCTACATGTATCTCTAACGATGGAATGTTTATCTGTTACCACGGTGACACAATGCACACATTAGAAAACGCTGTCAGAACAGATTGAAGATTTAAGAAGCTCAACAAACAGCACAAATGGATAAAAAAAGAGCACATTTTCAGGAGGCTGTGATCAGTCCGAGCGTTCGTGGTCCCGTTTAGGAGTTTGATTTCCGACAAAAACATGAGAGTGGCGCGAATCATCTCACCCGCTGTGGCTCCAACTAAGTAAATTCTTTCTCGTCAGGTTGTGTTAAAACCAAGTCTAACAGCCTCAGACGGAGCAGAGCCTCTAGTTTTAGCGTCATACCCACAGGGAATCAGATTTTTAGCTTTTCTCACCATCGTCAAACCGGCTTCAGTTTACCATATTTTTCGGATTATAAGTTGCTCCAGAGTCTAAGTGGCACCAGCCAAAAAATATGTAATGAAGAAGAAAAAACATATATAAGTTGCACTTTTTGGGGGAAATTTATTTTCTAAAATCAGAGACCAGGAACTGAAAGTCAAGTTGTAGTAAAAACAATAGAAGAGAAAACAACAGACTGTTTAAGTCACATATGAACAGTTCTTCAGATAATTGTAACATAAACAACAGAACAGAACAAGTTTAACAAACTCTCCATCTCACTCCAAATCACTAAATCAGTTCTTCGTCCTCGGTGTCACTTCTGAACAACTCCTCGACCTCCAGAGGTAAACAGAGCGTCGCTTCCTCTTGGTAAAATGGTCACATTTTTCTTAAACGCTTTTCCACATTCAAGGCTCAAAGGGTTTTACAACAAGGAACCACTCACACATTCACACACACACACTTGCACACCAGTATACGCAGACCCTGGGGGTGAGGTGGGTTAAGTGTCTTGCCCAAGGACACAACAACAGCACTGATCTGTGGGAGCTGGAATCAGACCAGTCAACCTGTGGGTCAGTGGCTCGGACACCTCAACCAATGATGTTTATAATAATAATAATAATAATAATAATGCATCAGCTTTATATGGCGCTTTTTTGGACACTCAAAGGCTGCGTTCACACTGCAGCCTGAAGTGACCCAAATCCGATTTTTTGGCCTCTATGTTCCTGTATCTGATCTTTTAATGACAGTCTGAACCACACAGATCTGATTTTTTCAAATGTGACCCAGGACACTTGGATATGTGCTCCTGAAACTGATACATATCTGATCTTTTGACATGTGACTTCAGCCTGAACGGCCAAAGTGCATTCATCCACCTACACGTTATCAACAAGACACAAACGTCACTATTCTGCGCTGAAGTAGGTGAAAATTGTTAATGAACTCTGTGTCACTGAAGTGAAGCACATCACCACTCACCACTCTTGGCTCCGTCTCCACATCCACACGTTCCTTTCAACAGACTGAACCACAAAACACCACGACCAAAAACCTCGTCCTTCTCCTTCTCAATCTCCTCCTTAACAAGTAAGTTTTTCATGTTTTGGCTCCGGTACGAGAGGAACTTTAAAATCTCCAGGTGCTACTTCCGTAAACACAGAGACGCTCACTGCGGTTGACGTCGTCGTGTCTCCAGTGTCACATGTGGGACACTTTCGGGCCGTTTAATGTTCACACTGGAGTCACATACAAGTTGCATTTAATTGGAAATGTGAACGACCTCGAAAAAACATCGGATTTCACAAAAAAATCTGAATTGAGCGTTAAGCCCTGCAGTCTGAACGTAGCCAAAGACGCTTTACAGAGCATTATTCATTCACTCCAGACTCAGTCGTGGTAAAATACTACTCTAGACATAGCTGCCCTGGGACAGACTGACAGAAGCGAGGCTGCCAATCTGCGCCATCAACTCCTCCGACCACCACCATCACTCACGCACGCACCACTTTCATACTAAACAATGAGGATGAAGTGTCTTGCCTAAGGACACAACAACAGTTTTTAAGACTGGCGCTTCCTGTGGCTCCTGATTTTCCCAGTGTCTCCATCCAAGTCCTGACCAGACCTGCTGAGCTTCTGAGATCTGACAGGATCAGGCTGGTCTGGTCACACACATAACTTCTTTGGTTCTTTTTAAAGACAGTAAAGTGTATTTTTCTTGTTGACGTGTTTCGGCTGCTGCTGCTGTAAGCCGTCGTCAGAACTACATAAAGTAGTGGCAGCAGTATAAAGGGGCGGCAGTAGCTCAGTTGGTAGAGCATTCACCCACTGATTTGAAGGTTGGCTGGTGTGATTCCAGCTCCCACAGATGAATGCTGTTGTTGTGTCCTTGGGCAAGACACTTAACCCACCTTGCCCACTGTGTCTGTGTACACTGGTGTGTGAATGGGTGAGTGGTTCCTTGTTGTAAAGCTCTTTGAGTGCCTTGAAGGTGGAAAAGCGCTATAGAAAAATGTGACCATTTACCATAAAGTACATAAGAAGACAAAATGAACATGTTTGACTCAATGATGTTCATGTCCAGAGCAGGATTCAAACTACCAACCTTTAGATCAGTGAACAAACGCTTTACCAACTGAGCTACTGCCGCTTCCTCTTCTGTGTCACTGTCGTCAGACTCAGCATCAGTTCCAGTTAGAATTATTTGGGTCTTTCTGAATCTCGACAGGATGGTTTTTGTGTCACTGAAGTCCAGGCTTTGTCCATCCATCCAGTGACTTCAGGAAAGTTTCATGGTGCATCCTCCCGGTTGCCATGAAAACGTGTTCTCCATCACCGCCTTTTCCACCAGTCCCTCACAAGTTTCTTTTCTCGCTCACTCCAAACTTTCTTTCTGCTGCTCGATTTCCGTTTTCGGCTGAATATTTCACGACTTGCAGCAGGACAGAGGCTCTTTCTGCAGAGCGAAGTGACACACGAGCCTGTCAGTGTGAACATTTTAATATATAAGTCACGGGAAACACCCAAACCATGAAAAAAAGTGCCACTTATTGTCCGAAAAATACACGTCTGAAATCCCAGCTTAGACCTGGATCGGTTTAGTCCGGGTTTAGTTCTGGTCAGGTCACTCGGTTACACTTACACTTTTTAACTTTACAACCAAACATTCCGATTGACAAAACTTCAAAACGAGCTTGAACACAACCAAACCTTTTTACTTTTAGTTTTACATTTTCAAAGTTTACATTGACCTACGGTGCACTTCTGTCAGCTTTCCATTAGTGGCCTATTATATTCTATACAGTATTACGTTTTATTTTTATTATTATTTACATGTATTTTAACCAAACTCCACAATGTTTACGGTGAACGTGTATTGCAACAAAGTTTGTATTGTATTTTTTATGCACTTTTTCAGTTATTTGCCAAATTTCGACGATCGTTGGCGGTTTTGTGGGCTCGTGTTTTGGTCGTGTGACGCAAACTAGTTTTAATTTGGGTAAACTTTGGACGCGCCTAATTTGGCTCCTGAGTGTTTCGTCCTGGTTTAGTTCATTTAAAGGTGCATTGTGTAACTTTTCTGGCAGATGGAGATGTTATTGCTTTGGGGAGACCAAACCGGACCAAGTTACAGGTCGGATCTGTGGAGAGGCGACCCCGCTCACAGTCAGAATGTTTGTTTTTCAAGGAATTTTGAGAGATAAAACCACCTGTAACCACAACTGCAACTTGACTTTTTTTTCTTTTCTTTATTATTTGTCTCCAAAACCAAAATGAAAAAACAGATAATGATTTGTTTTTTCAGTTTTCGATTTTGTGTTTAAATGAAAAATGGAAAAAACGGATAACGGACTGAACCAGGACTAAACTTGGACTGAACCAGGACTGAACAGGACTAAACCAGTATTAAACCAGGTCTAAACGAGAACTAATCTTGGACTTGAGAGAGCGCTGGTCCTTTCTCCTGCGGTCACCCGATGGTCTGCATGGGTGCACCTCCAGGCCCGTCCCGATACTCAGTCCTAGTTCAGTCCTGGTTTAGTCCTGGTGTAGTTAGATTTTAGTCCTGTTTTAGCCCTGGTTCAGTCCTGGTTCAGTCCTGGTTCAGTCCTGGTGTAGTCCTGGTGTAGTCCTGGCTTAGTCCTGGTTCAGTCCAGGTTTAGTCCAGATTTAGTCCAGGTTTAGTCCTGGTTTAGTCCTTGTTCAGTCCTGGTTCAGTCCAGGTTCAGTCCTGGTTTAGTCCTGGTTTAGTCCTGGTTTAGTCCTGGTGTAGTCCTGGTGTAGTCCTGGTTCAGTCCAGGTTTAGTCCTGGTTTAGTCCTTGTTCAGTCCTGGTTCAGTCCAGGTTTAGTCCTGGTTTAGTCCTTGTTCAGTCCTGGTTTAGTCCTGGTTCAGTCCTGGTTCAGTACAGGTTCAGTCCTGGTTTAGTCCTGGTTTAGTCCTGGTTCAGTCCGGCTTCACAGTTTAAGTCACGTAAACAGGAAATGGTCGTTATCGTTTTTTTTTTTTTTTCATTTTTCATTTAAACACAAAGTCAAAAACTGAAAAAACAAATCATTATCTGTTTTTTCATTTTGGTTTGGAGACAAATAATGAAGAAAACAGTTGTTTATGTGTGTTCTTATTTTTGGTTTTATTTTGAAAAATGAATAAACGAATAATACACGGATTTGCCAGCTCAATGAGACGACACAATCGCAGCCCAAAACTTACGACATGTTGGAACAGCGATACCAAAAAGTGTCAGAACATGGGCGGTGGACTTAAACGTGTCTATCTCTGATTTATATTGACGTGCCATCTCCAGAAAGTTACACACTGGGGCTTTAAATAATCTGAGTCCAGAACATTTACCTTGATTTTGTGTTTTTGACACTTCCAGAGTCACTTTTTTCTGACTTTAATTACATTTTATTTTTACTTGCTGGTCATTTTTTATAAGAACACTTAGAGACAAATCAGAAAAGTAAAAAGTATTTATACACACAAAACAAAAGCTCCAGTTCTGCACATTTAAATCTGTCAAAAAGCAAAAATAATCCTTTAACTCACGAAGGCGGCACTGAGGAGCTGTGTTCATTATGTTCATATGTTAATACCGGTGTAACTACATACATGCGAGTGCGTTTTGTACTGTTTTTATTTAAATGTGTGAGACTTTGCTTTATAATGTCTTCCCTTTTTTCCTCTGAGCGATTTCTGCTTTTCTAAGTCCAAACTGTATTAAGTATTATCAGTAAATATCAATAAAGGGCACTATACAGTCGATGTTTGATATCACACAAGCCTCTTTGTGCTTTATTTCTATTTGAATCTTATGATATGAGGTTATAATGATGTGCTGGGGGTGTTCTACATGCACCTCTGTCGGCAGAATGTTCAGCAGTTTCCACAGCAATACAATATATACATTAGCAAACACTGAAACTACACATTTTCAGGAGTCTGTGATCGTTCATGGTCCTGTTTTAGGAGAAGGTGAGCAGATTTTCAAAATTCAAAACTGGGACACACCTGGGTTGGGATGTTTAGTATAAATAAATCTGTGAAAAGAGTGTGGAACGTTAGGACTGCTTGTGTCTGTCATGATCTGAGGGACTTCTGTCACTGCATTTCTGTATTTTGGCAAAAGACAGTTTATGCTTTATGCTTTACTGTTGGCACAGATCAGATTAGTCAGAAATTGTGATAGTCCTGGTTTAGGCCTGTTTTAGACCTGGCAGCTCTACTGTACATTTATTCAATTACAGGTGGTTTTATAGTTCAAAAATACCCCGAAAAACAAACATTCTGACTATGACCGAGGTCCATCCATCCATCCATTTTCGTCCGCTTATCCGGGGCCGGGTCACGGGGACAGCAGCCTAAGCAGGGACTCCCAGACTTCCTTCACCCCAGACACGTCCTCCAGCTCCTCCGGGGGGACCCCGAGGCGTTCCCAGGCCAGCCCAGAGACATAGTCCCTCCAGCGTGTCCTGGGTCTTCCCCGGGGCCTCCTCCCGGTGGGACATGCCCAGAACACCTCCCAAGGGAGGTGCCCTGGAGGCATCCGGAACAGATGCCCGAGCCACCTCAACTGGCTCCTCTCGACGAGGAGGAGCAGCGGCTCTACTCCGAGCTCCTACCGTGTGACTGAGCTCCTCACCTCCTCAGGTATTTTTGAAATTGTATGCCTCTTTTTACTGTTTGCAGGGATCAGATTAGTCAAAAATAGAAACACCTGGGACATTTCTTGTATTAAACTGGGACAAATCACTGGTTTTGGGTAAATTTGCTGGGACAGAGGACACAGGCTCAAAACTGGGACTGTCCCGGGTAAATAAAGATTTCTGGTCATCGTAGTTTAGGTGTGTCTGTGTGTGTGTGTGTGTGTATATATATATATATATATATATATATATATATATATATATATATATATATATAAAATCATTCAGCTCAGCTCCTCTACCAGAGTTCTGAGAGCCTGAGAGTTCTTCAGTATCTTTGCTATTCCAGTCCTGCACTTTTCTGGACTGAGATGTTCTGTTGTTTTTCCTGGTATCTGTTGTAGTTTCTTCCAGTTTGGGGGTTACAGCCCCGAGTGTCCGATCACCACAGGCTCCACTGATGCCTTCACTTTCCAGGCTCTCTCCAGCTCCTCCTGGTATTTCTCTCGTTTCTCGTGTTCCTTTTTCCTGATATTACCATCGCTTGGTATTGTGAGCGATGGTAATATGTATATATATATACTGTATGTATATATATATATATATATATATATATATATATATATATATATATATATATATATATATATATATATATATATATATATATATATGTATTTCAGCTACAAATATAAACCTTTAATTACAAAAGGAGCAGCTTCAAAGCTCAAATTTAAAGGAATAAATTTAAATAATTCAAAAAGGACATAAGAAAACCAGCCTCTTTTCTCTCAGTTAGGCCCAATGAGCTGGCAAAAAGTTTCAGGTCATTCTTCAAGTGTGTTATGTTTGGTTTTATCTTAAAAAAAAAAAAAAAAAAAAAAAAGACATTTGTGAATAAAATGTTTACCTAAACTCAATAAATAGTTTATACCAAATTCCATTCTTTTATCATCTATTAATACACCAAATTTTATTTTTTACGGTTAGAGGGACAAACCATAGACTGTATAAAAGATGTAGCTTGGGTCTATGATGCAAACTGAAGCCAAGACTGAAAATCAAACCAACATTTTTACACAAACTCACATAAAAAGAAAAGATGTTCCAAATCCTCCTCCCCTGTGTCACAAACAGTGTTGGAGACTAACAGATTACATGTACCAGAGTTACGTAATCAGAGTACAAATTATGAGTAACTGTATTCAGTTACAGTTACTGTTTCAGTGAGAGGTAATTGGATTACAGTTACTTTGTTGAAATAAATGGATTACACGGCGGTATTTTCCTGTTTTCACATTTTGAGCTATTCCCTTTTTTTTTTTTTTTTTTTCGGTAATTCCACTCATTGCCGGACACTAAACTAGGTCTAAACCAGGTCTAAACCCAGGTCCAAACCAATTCTAAACCTGGTCTAAAACCAGGTCTAAACTAGGTCTAAACCAGGTCTAAAACCAGGTCTAAACTAGATCTAAATCAGGTCTAAAACAGGATTTAACAGGACTAAAACAGGACTAAACCATACTGCGTGGACGTGTCTTCTATCAATAATATTTTTAATTTGGTTCAGTAAAGACTTGGCCTTTTTATTTTCTTTTATCAGACAAAACTTCTTATGTGAAGATTTCCTCGTCTTTGCTTCTCTACGGCAAATCAAGTAATCCAAAGTATTCAGATTACATTACTCACTTTAAGTAATTTAATGGATTACGTTACAAACTACATTTTGGTGTATGTAATCTGTAATCTGTAGGGGAATACATTTTAAAAGTAAACTTCCAAACACTGGTCACAAAATACACATTAATCTGTCTCAAATTTGATTTTTTTTTTTTTTTTTTTTTTTTTTCATAATAGACCAACGTGTTTTATTTTGACACGCCTCTACCGGAAACGCTCGCTTTGTTATTTCCGGTGCTAACTTTAACTGTCCCGAGTGTCGCTTCAAAATCAGGTCAGTGTCCGGGTTATTATCATGTCGTTACTTTTTCTCCCTCAGACTTTAAATCCCGCCAGTTTCAGATTTGTTTTTTGCAGCGGTGCGTTTGTAGCGACGCTTAAATGTGAAGTTTGTCCAGAGTTTAGCCACCTGTTGCTAAAGAGTTAGAGTTAGCCTCGGAGCTAAAACATGGATTCTGTGGGAATTTAACCGACAACCTCATGAAAGATGCTTTAACATGATTTAATTAAAACTGTGACGCTTTGTCTGATTATAAACTGCACTTTTAAGACGGCAGCACTGGAGAAAATGACCTAGAAATGACCTCGTTTCATGCACGTGTTATATTTACTTTTCTAAACACTGAAATTAGTAGTTTAGTCCTGGTATAGTTTTAGTTTAGTCCTGTTTTAGTCCTGGTTCAGTTCTGGTTAAGTCCTGTTTTAATCCTGGTTTAGTCCTGTTTTAGTCCTGGTTCAGTCCTCTTTTAGTCCTGGGTTAGTCTTGGTTTAGTTCTGCTTTAGTCCTGGTTTAGTCTTGGTTCAGTCCTGTTTTAGTCCTGGTTTAGTCCTGGTTTAGTTCTAGTTTAGTCCTGGTTTAGACTTGGTTCAGTCCTGGTTTAGTCTTGGTTTAGTTCTGGTTTAGTTCTGGTTCAGTCCCGGTTCAGTCCTGGTTCAGTCCTCTTTTAGTCCTCTTTTAGTCCTGGTTTAGTCTTGGTTCAGTCCTGTTTTAGTCCTGGTTTAGTCTTGGCTTAGTCCTGGTTAAGTCCTGGTTTAGTCCTGGTTTAGTCCTGGTTTAGTCTTGGTTTAGTCCTGGTTTAGTCCTGGTTTAGTCCTGGTTCAGTCTGGCATCGCAGTTTAAGTCACGGAAACGGTCTTTATTTGTTTTTTCCATTTTTTATTTAAACACAAAATTGAAAACTAAAAAAAACAAATCGTTATCTGTTTTTTCATTTTGGTTTTGGAGACAAATAATGAAGAAAATAGTTGTTTTTTCGTTTTCTTATTTTTGGTTTTATATTGAAAAACAAACCAACGAATGACACACGGATTCACCAACTCAATGAGACGACAAAATCGCAGCCCAAAATTTATGATGAACACACACACACGGAACAGGATGTACACAGACATTAATAATAAATAAAATAAACACTGAAATATACAGGCAGACAGACAAAAGACATGTACATTTCCAACAAGAAAAGAAATTAGATCCAGTTGCTGTTTTTTGTGACTCCATCCTTGTTGTTTGCTTCATTTGTTTTGGACAGGGAGGATGTATCCAATGGACAGGTCTCCGGTCCCAGTCCGAGACCCAGACTTCATGGAGTCCATCAGTAAAACCATGAGAGTCCCGGACCGGCTCAGCATGGGACTGGGCCAAGACCAGGACCAGGATCTGAACCAGACTGAGGTCCATCCGGTTTACAGCATGCAGGTCCCTGACAGACTCACCTACGCAGGTAACAACAAGTAATAACTGGGTTTTTACTGATACTTATTTAGAAGTTTATTAAAATTTTTATATAAATATACTTTTTTTACTCTGTTATTGTGATATATTTTGGTGTGTGAGCTGTTGTGTTCAAGTCATTTCTCTTGTGGATCAGTAAAGTTTGTTAAGTTGTTGTCTAAGTAACACAACAAATGTCAGTCTGTTCAGGAAATCTACAGCTCACAATGCTCTGTTCCACCTTGTGATGTCATGAACTGGTACTTTTCAAGATAACAGCTGCTTTTTACCTTTTGTTCAGTGGCAACTAGGAGTGTGCAAAAATATCAAAATATTGATATATCGTATTGTTTAATGTGATGATACAGTATTGATATCGTGGGCTGCTGTATCGATATATCACCAAGAGTATTTTTTGGTATATTTGACTAAATTACTTTGTTACAGCTACATTTTTGTTAGTTGTTTAGATGAGGAGTGTCAAACTCAAATTCACAGAGGCCAAAATTAAAAACTGGGACTAAGTCGTGGGCCAAACTAAGTATTTACTGAAAATTTTCAACAACATCTGCATGTTTTCTCTTCTATCAATATATGTAATGTTAAACATTTTCTTATTAAAATAAATGTTTAATTTTGTTTTGCTTAAACATTGATTCCAGAACAAACAAAATATTAAATATTAAATAATAAAATAAATGAATAATGTCTTTATGGTCTATCTGTAGTTGGCGGGCAGCTCTAATACATGTTTGATATGATCTTGTGGGCCAAATTTAATGATATCATGGGCCAAATTTGGCCCCCGGGCCTGAGTTTGACATGTCTGGTTTAGAGGAAAGAAACTCGTTAATGTGACACATTTGACATTTTCACTGTTTTGATGATTAAAATGTTTGTGTTTCATATGAAATTTGCACCAGAAGTGGTTTAACAAAGACTTCTAGGATCACAGACATGATTTAGGCTTTTATTTTTTATTGCATATATATCAGATCAATTTGAAATATATCGTATCGAATCGAAAGTGCACTGTATCGAGATATGTATCGAATCTGCAACTTCTGAATGACACCCAGCTCTAGTGGCGACTGTAAGTTTCAGAGCTGAAATGATCCATATAATTCTAGTGACGATGTTTGGAGTTTAAAAACAGAGTGGAATTCCTGTATTATGACATGACATCACAAAGTGGAATCGAGTGAAGGAACTCAGGACCTGTTTACACAAGAACACTTGTGGGTAAAAACGACAAAATATTTTATGGGAAGTGCCTTTCGTTTAGACAGTGACGGCGTTTTGTGGCTTAAAAACTAAAAAATCTGAAACCAGCCTCCAGAGTGTAAAAGTTGAATACACTCCGCCATAGTGTTTCCATCTACACTAAACAAGATGCAAAACTCTGATCAGATCTGCTCAGGTCATGTACACGTTTACATCACATACATACAGTACACAGAAACAAACATGTCAGATGGCATGCGTACACAATCCAATTCCATACACAATCCAGTTCCATACACTTTTGCGTCACCAGATTTCCTCCTGAAAACTCTTGTCTAAACGTGGAATAAAAAGTGAAGACGCAACGACACTTTTGTGTCTTCTGTTCAGACCGTCGTCATATAAATGTAGCCTCAGCCCAAAATTTGTGCGTTAGACATGTGACAGAAACAAAACCGAACTCCAGGTCTGTTTGTGACGAGGAAACGACATTATAACCGATCAGAAAACTGCGTAACATGAACCCTTTAGTCCATGAAACACTGTGTACATCTGCGTTTGTGTCATCAGAAGCTGCAGACCTGAGTCCCAGACCTCAGTTTGGTCCGAAGTCCAAGCCCCCGGTCCTGGAGGTGTGTGTGGAGAGCCCCCTAGAGGCCCCCCACAGAGACTCACAGCAGGTACCCCCCCCAGCTCTCACACAAACACCGCCTCTGTCAGTCTGGACCCTCTTTACATTTGAGCTTTTTTATGTTGAATCATGTGTGTCTTTTCTGCTTTTGCCAGAGTCCCATCCGGCGTTCGATGAGCGACCAGAGCTTTGGGACCCCGGGGACCCACAACAGGGCCCTGGTCATGCCTCGGCAGAAGTCCTCCTCGTGAGTAAAACTGAACTAAAACTGAAACTTTACAGCTCAACATCAGAGACAAACACTGGCCACGTTTACATGATGTTTTTTTTTATTGTTTTGAATTAAATAGTTCTGAATTAAACTATTCTCCTTCGAGTTTGCATAGAAATAATAATTCCGACTTGAAGTTTACATGGAGAACACCGAGCCGGGTCGTATCAGACGGTCGACCCAACGAGCATACGCCAAACAACCGGAATTATTTTTAAGAATAAATGTTTACATGATCGAGGAATAAATAAATTTGGCTTTGAAGTCGGAATAAACCACCCACTTACTTAATTCAACTTAATTCTAAATAATCATTTCAATCAGTCAATAATAATAATAATAATGATAATAAAATAATAATAATAATAATAAACTATAACATACTAATAATAACACAATAATATAATAACATAATAATAACACAATAACATAATAATAATATTATTATTATTATTAACATAATAACATAATAATAACACAAGAAGAGTAAAGAGTTTCTGTGACTCTTCAGTACCAGATCGTCTTGACCCACTTGGTTCTTGGTTCCACTTTCCTCTCTCCGCTTTCAGTCGCCGTCCCGTCCGCCTCCCCTCCGTGTCGCCCCAGCCCCCTCCCGTCGCGGCCCCGCCCCCACCCCTTGGCCCCCTCTCCGCCCGCTCCCTCATGCAGATGGGTCTACAGGCCTCACAGCGCCTCCTGCAGGTCGTCAACAGCAAGTACAGGTCTGCTTTGAACCGGCTGCATGCTCCTAAAGTTCTGTTCGGTAAATTTTGGGCATGATTATGAAGCTGTGGAGCTGTGTGTGTGTGTTTTGTTTTGTTTTTCTAACCCAAAATTTGCTTAAAGTGGTTTTGCCGCTTTGTTGCTCCAACTAATTATCGTTTTAACATTTATGGCTTGGCTTTACTTACACTTATGCTCATTGTGTTTGGTCCAACACTGCCCTCGTGTGGCCAGAATTAGACAATGGCTGAAGAATTTGATTTAGACTTGGACAAATTTTACTGATCTACAAGGGAAATTAATTAAATTCTCTAAAAAAAAAAAGATTAAAATAAAATAGAAAAATAAGTAATAAAAAAATCGTATCATCAAGGACATAGGATTATCTGTTACATAAGTGTGAGTTGTTGTACAGTTGTAGGGAGTATTATCTTTTACATAAAGGTGAGTTGTTGCAGTTGTAGGGAGTATTATCTGTTCCATAAGGGCAAGTTGTTGTACAGTTATAGGGAGTATTATCTGTTACATAAGGGTGAGTTGTTGCACAGTTGTAGGGAGTATTATCTGTTAAAAAAGGTGAGTTGTTGTACAGTTGTAGGGAGTATTATCTGTTACATACGGGTGAGTTGTTGGACAGTTGTAGGGAGTATTATCTGTTACATAAGGGTGAGTTGTTGTACAGTTGTAGGGAGTATTATCTGTTACATATAAGTGACTTGTTGTACAGTTGTAGGGAGTATTATAGTATGAATGCAGTCGTGTATCTCTCATTGTTTGAGTGAAGCTGAAAAAATGAAAAAACCAAACAAAAAAACACCAATTGCAGTTGTGCAATTGTGTAAAAAATAGTGCTGTTTGTTTATATGCATTTTTATCGACATTCCGTTCACAGTGTTCATTTTAAAGGGACAGTTCTGAATTTTGGACATAGGTTCTCATTTCCTCGTGAGGTCAGGGTGTTGGAGACGTGTGAAGACACTTTAAAAAAATATTTCATCCAGTCCTTGTATTTGCAGAGGTCGCTGGTGCTAGACTAGTGCATGTCAATGGTCATAGTTTATCCTGCCACTAAAAACAGTCTTACCCACTCCACAAAACACCTGAAACAAATCTATTATTACACCAGACTGTCCATGTGAATGTCTGTCGATAGAATAATGTTTGAAATAAAACTAACATTGCATCGCATGAATCGTCACATGTTGAAGGACTATTTTCTCATATATCAGTCCACCGCTGCCGAACTTTCTATCAGGAAGTACAACTCACTGCTGCTGCTCAGACAGAAATCCTTCAAATGCAAGTAAAAGTAAAATTATTTTATGGACACAGACATTCACATGGACAGTCTGGTGTAATAATAGATTTTCTTCGGGTGTTTTGTGGAGTGGGTAAGATTGTTCTTAGACTACGTTCAGACTGCAGGGCTTAATGCTCAATTCGGATTTTTTTGTGAAATCCGATGTTTTTGTGAAGTTGTTCACATTTCCAATTAAATGCGACTTGTGTGTGACTCCAGTGTGAACATTAAACGGCCCAAAAGTGTCCCACATGTGACACTGGAGACACGACGATGTCAACTGCAGCGAGCGTCTCTGTGTTTACGGAAGTTGTCCAAACATGGACGCAGCATCGAGCACCTGGAGATTTTAAAGTTCCTCTCGTACCGGAGCCAGAACATGAACAACTTACTTGTTTTAAGGAGGAGATTGAGAAGGAGAAGGACGAGGTTTTTGGTCGTGGTGTTTTGTGGTTCAGTCTGTTGAAAGGAACATGTGGATGTGGAGACGGAGCCAAGAGTGGTGAGTGGTGATGTGCTTCACTTCAGTGACACAGAGTTCATTAACAATTTTCGCCTACTTCAGCGCAGAATAGTGACGTTTGTGTCTTGTTGATAACGTGTAGGTGGATGAATGCACTTTGACCGTTCAGGCTGAAGTCACATGTCAAAAGATCAGATATGTGTCGGTTTCAGGAGTAGGGATGGGCATGATTAATCGATTAATCGATAATTGATCATTAAGAATTTCATCGATTACGTTAATTTTAATCGACAAACCGAATGTATGTTCCTGTGTGTAGTGTGACCAAACAGGTGTGTACATGTGTCTCTGCATCAGAAGGAGCGAGACACAAACAGTGGGTCAGTCTGCAACGTACCGAAGCACAAATGTGGATTTAACGATGATTTGTACAAGAAATTCCAGGCTTTCTGTTGCGTTCGGGACAAGTGTGAGTCCATGTGCACAGTGTATAAAGCAGCACATATGTTTCGGTGTCCAGTGGGAAAAAGTTTTACCAGGTGAGAGTCGCTCAATGTGGATGACGAGTCCCCACCTCCCTCCCCCTGTACGGTGTCCTGGTTTTGACAAACACAAATCTGGTCACACTAACCTGTATTCACCTGAGTCATGTCTTTTAATCGGACAGAAATTGAACCACATCAGCGACACAAGAGCTGTAGTTTTATCTTCGCTTAGTTTATGCAAATTAGTGATGTGGTTTTAAGTTTTGTTTCTGTGAGAGTTGAACAAAACTGAATTAAACACATTATAATGTCAAACGGCTGATGTGGATCTAGAGTCGTTATGGTTTATATGTCGTAAAGTTGAATTTATTTATGCAGATTAGTAGTGCAGATAGTAATAATAATGATGATCATTTTAATATAAAAACGTTAATGATTAATCGATAATCCATCATTAATTCTTCCGACGATCGATTAAGAAAATTTAATTGAATGCCCATCCCTATTCAGGAGCACATATCCAAGTGGCCTGGGTCACATTTGAAAAAATCGGATCTGTGTGGTCATTAAAAGATCAGATACAGGAACATAGGGGCCAAAACATCAGATTTGGGTCACTTCAGGCTGCAGTGTGAACGCAGCCTTAGTGGCAGGATAAATTATGACCATTGACATGCACTAGTCTAACACCAGTGACCTCTGCAAATACAAGGACTGGATGGAATATTTTTAAAAACTGTCTCCACACGTCTCCAACACTCTGACCTCACGAGGAAATGAGGCCCTATGTCCAAAATTCTGAACTGTCCCTTTAAAACACTGAAATATCTGATACTTGAGACATTTACAGACAAAGAACGTGTTTTTCAGCTCTTCTCGGCGTGTGTTAAAACTGCAGAACGCAAAGCTCCAAGTTGTAGTTTAATGCCAAAATAATAAATGACGGCGCGATGATGCCGAATCCTACGAGGGTCACAGATTAAGAAAATAAAATGGAAAAACTAAGCAAGTACAGAGCAGTGGGCTTTAGTCCCTCTCACCTTTTTGGTTGAAAGTCAAACTCCTAAACAGGACCACGAACGCTCGTACTGACCACAGACTCCTGAAAATGTGCGGGTTGAATCCATTTTTCGTTTTTCTTGAGTTTTCAGGCAATTTTAGAACCATTTTTGTCCGTGTTTGCTTATGTGTGTCACCATGGTAACTGACGACCCTTCTGCACTGTCCCCACTTTAGTTTGTCCATTTGTTCTTGTCTAAACTAACTCGCCTCACCGCTTTGCCCTCGCTACGCACTCACAACTCCAAATAAGAAATAACCAAACTAAAGTGACAGAAGCTGATGTTGTTTTGCGTCTGTTTTTGGGCTGAAGGTTCATGAGAGACGAGCCTCCTCCTCCTCAGACTCAGACTCAGACTCAGCTCAGACCAGAGGCGGGTCCAGGACAGGGTCAGGTGGAACGCAGCAGCAGCAGAAGGTACAAAACAAAAGAACCGCCTTCGCCTTTCACTATTTTTTAATTCTGTTGGGAAGGGAAACAGTCTGAACGGAGGTTTGCAGTCACACACCTCTGACTCACTTTTGCATTTATGGAGTTCGCAAACAAATTTCTCGAGCCGTTTTCCGCTGTTAGGTACGGAAGCCGAGACGGGTCGCAACAAACGCAAATGCAATTACAATTACAAACGCCACAACACAAACGCAAATGCCTCAACACATTAAAAAGCCACAATACATTAAAAAAGCCACAACACATTAAAAAGCCGCAACGAAAGTGACCGCGGGACTCTATTTTCCGATGGACTGATCAAGCGGCAAGTGAAGAAGAAGAACTACAACGTGAAAAGTAAATAACGGAGAAGTTGGAAACGTAAGTAAAAGTAATTTATTGTTTTATCATTATTCATTTCGCGTTGTAGTTCTTCTTCTTCACTTGCCGCTTGATCGGTCCGTCGGAAAATAGAGTCCCGCGGTCACTTCCGTTGTGTCTTTTTAATGTGTTGTGGCTTTTGACTACTTTAAACTCACTCAGAATGGAAACAGTGCAGCCTTTAGTCTTGAACACACCGCCCGAGAATAACTCCTGTAAGAACACTTTCCCATAAAGCATTGCGGCCAACATAATATGCCGCACCTCAATGTATATACAGTGCGCCCTCTACTGGGAAACGCCGGAAATGCAGGAAAAATAAAACATCAACAAGGTTTATTGTTGTAATTTATTCAAGTTCGGCGGGCCGGATTAAAAGGTTTAAAGGGCCGCATACAGCCCCCGGGCCGTAGTTTGCCCACCCCTGCTTTAAACTCTAAGATCTATGGGGAAAATTAATGGAAAATTGACTTTACTGTTGAGCTCCACAGAGGATTGTGATTGAATAATACGATCACTCTGTTTGAGATTAAAGGTATTTTCAAATTCTATGGTGAAGCCAGTTTAATAATGACCTGTTTTCTGTTTGTGTTTGTGTGTTTGTCTGTGTGTGTGTTGTGTTCAGGGCCATGGAAAACTGGAGCGCGGAGGATGAGGGCGGAGCAGCGGTGGAGCTGATTGTGCTTCGTCGACAGGTGAGAATGTGAAATAATAAAAACAGAACGTCAAATACTCGGAAATAAAACAGAAACACTGACGCCACTTCAACAGTTTGTTTTAAATAAGAATACAGCTCTAGTTTACATTTATATAAATGGACAGAGTTAACCCGCCGCATTGCAAATAGGAAATGAGCATGGCCTCGTCGTTTTGGTCTTAAATGTTCGTATGAATCCGTTTGATGTGATCCTGCTGTTTTTATTTCGCTGTTTTGTCCGTAAATCAAGATATGAACATTAATAACGGACAAATCCAGCACCGCCCTTCAGATTTGATTGACAGCGTTGCTAAGCTAAGGGAAGGGGCATTACCTTCAACAGCCTCGCTCCTGATTGGCTCTTTGGTTGCTATGATACTTAGACCCCGTCCACACTAGTTCGTATTTGAGTCGTTTTCGTTGTGGATGCAGTGTTTGTTCACACTCCAGTTCCCACGAATTCATGTTCGTACAGATCTGATCCAGCACCGTGTGGACGCCTGAAAACACTGATACTCTGATGTAGGAGCTCGAGTCTCGTCCTTATTGGACCACGTCACTGTGACTCGCTCCTTCCTGATGCTCTGGGTTCGTGACATCGATCATGTGACGATATTGTGGAAAAACTGTTTAAACAAACCAGAGACAAACGGGAAACAGCGGAGCTAGAAATACTTTCACGCTTACCCTTTTCCTCGGCTCGAAATCAGCTGCTGCAACTTCCACGTGACATTGTGACACCAGCCTAGTCGTGTGACATGCATTTCAAGCGGTTTTGAGTTACTGTGCGGAGGGAAGGCTTTGTTTGCGGACACAGAAACGACATGTCTGGATGCAAATCATTTCCAATACAGTGATACGGTGATTCGTTTCAGTGTAAACGTGACCTTAGACTTAGAAAACAACAGGGAGAGGCAGGTCAGGGCCAGAGGTGTGAGATCTCATATTATTAGCCTGAATGATTCTGATAATATGAGCCCACACTCAGTGCAGCTCAACAGGCCGAGCTAACAGACTGAAACTGTAAACAAGTGTGTGTGTTAGTTTCAGAGTAGTTTCAGAGTAGTTTCAGTGTAGTTTCTGTGTAGTTAGCTTCTCCTGCAGACAGATATAAGGAAGTGTCCACCAGAGTCTGAAGAAGAAGCCTGGATGAGCTGAGAAACGGATTTGACCAAAATAAACTTTTGCCCGGTTGACAAATTGAATTTCTCCTTTTTCCAATATTATTATTATTCGGTTACAGATTCGCCCCTATAACTGCTCTATGCTCCTCGATGAGCTTCGTTTGACTAGAGCCCAATGATGTCACACTCACTCAGTCCACTGCTTTAAGTCTGTGGTTTTCTTTTTTAAAAGGTGCATTGTGTAACTTTTCTGGTGGAGGGTCTGTCAATCGCTTTTCTTCATGGAGATGTTAGTGGTTTGTCTGGAATGTTCCACAGTGTGGCTTTAAATCTTTCTCTCATCATGGAGACCAAACCAGACCAAGTTACAGATCAGATCTGTGGTTTGTCAAGGAGCTATAAAAAAATCACCTGTGATTGAACAAATGTAAAGTAGAGCTGTTTAATGTCACACTGTGGAACATTCCAGGCAGAATTTTTTTTTTTAAATCCATAAAAACAAGTTTTTCCAGCAGAAAAGTGACACAATGCACCTTTAAAAACACATATTCTGCATTTCTGTTCAGTGTTATGGGCCTTTATGATCTTTTGTTTCCTGAGTCTCGTGTTTTACAAAAAGATGAAGCCATTCTGTTGAAATTCTTCTTCTTCTTCATCCACTTCTCCTCCTCCTTCTTCACCTCCTCCATCTCCTCTTTCTTCTCTTCCCTCTCTTCCTCTTCCTCCTCTTCCTCTTCCTCCTCTTCCTCTCTCTGTTTTCATGTTTGGAGGTGGTGAAGATGAGTCGTCGTTTGGCGTCGTTGGAGCGTCACAACAGCGAGCGGCGGAGCACAGAGTTTGTTTTGTTTTGTCTGCTGGGCTCGGCGTGTTTGCTCAACGCTTGGCTCTGGATTCGGAGATAACCACGACGGACGACGGACGACAACGCTCCGGGTTTTTACACCACGGACACTTCCTAAGTTTGATTATTATTTAACACGGAGTTTATGGAAGTTAAATACAAATGTTACAGAGACGATTTACTCCAGACTTCTCATCTGTGTTAGGTTTGTTTTTGTTCAATCCTGATACAGACACTGTTATTTTTCTTAAAATATATTTTAGCCTCACTTTAGTCCTGGTGTAGACCTGGGTTTAGACCTGGGTTTAGACCTGGGTTTAGACCTGGGTTTAGACCTGGTTTAGACCTGGTTTAGACCTGGTTTAGACCTGGGTTTAGACCTGGTTTAGACCTGGGTTTTAGACCTGGTTTAGACCTGGGTTTAGACCTGGTTTAGACCTGGTTTAGACCTGGGTTTAGACCTGGTTTAGACCTGGTTTAGACCTGGTTTAGACCTGGGTTTAGACCTGGTTTAGACCTGGTTTAGACCTGGGGTTAGACCTGGTTTAGTGGCAGTTTTAGTACTTTTTAGTCTTGGTTTAGTCCTGGTTTAGTCCTGATACAGACCTTGTTTATTCATATTTTAGCCCGACTGAAGACCTGGTTTAGATCTGGTTTTAGTGCTGGTTTTACTGCACATTAGTCCTGGTTTAGTTCTGATTTAGTTTTTATTCAGTCCTGACTAAACAAGGACTAAATAGCTCTAGTTTAGTCCTGGTTTAGTTTTGGTAATGTTTAATGTTTATGTGCTGCTACTTTCATTTACTGAGCGAATAACTGAACAATTCTTTAATTTTGTGTTTCATTTTACAATTTCTCCCCAAACACAATTTAAAACTTCATTAAAACGTTCGTATTATTTTATTTTCTGATCTGTTCTAATGTCGTTTCCTCGTCACAAACCGAGTTCTGTTTTTACTTCACTTCGCTGAGTCCAAGATCGATTCTAAAGGTGAAAACTACCACTTCATGACATCACCAGGTGGAACAGAACGTAATAAAGTGTTACTTAAACAAAACAACTCCAGGTTTGTTTTTCACATTAGAACGTGACTCTTAAATCTCTTCAATCTCTCAAGAGTCCGTTTTGTGTAATATCGAAACTTTAAATAATAATTAGACTCTTGTTTTGTTACTGTGTCGACTGAAAATAATTGTTTAGACCTGGTTTAGTCCTGGTTCAGTTCTGGTTTAGTCCTGGTTGAATAGTTTAATAAATAAAAGTGTGTATTTGTGATTTAGTTTAAAACACAAACTCGAGGATTCGCGTCTCTGGTTTTACTGAATCGTGTTTCGTCGTTGCCCTGACGACGACGTTTGAGCGACTTTTGTTGGGTGTTAAGACTGTGCCATTTGTGATTTATTTAAAACATATTTTATTATATTATATTGTATTTTATTATATTGTAAAATAAGAAGTGTTTTATTTTGACAATAAAGATGTGATACAAACATGTGATTCATTTGATCAACTGTTACTTTTATTCTCATTTATGTTTTGACCAATATTATTAAAACCAGATGTGGGCAGCAAAACTCAATACTGTAAAAATGTTAAATTATTTTATTATTTTAGTGTTTTATGAGAAATGTGTGATAAAAGTAACAAATTACTGGACCAGAGGTTCATCCACGTAAACTGTCCGGGAAACCCACGGGTAAAAGGACCAAGACCTAGTCCAAGATTAGTCCTGGTTTAGACCTGATTTAGACCTGATTTAGACCTGGTTTAGTCCTGGTTTAGTCCTGGTTTAGACCTGGTTTAGTCCTGGTCTAGTCCTAGTTTAGTTCTATTTTAGTCCTGGTTCAGTTCTGGTCTAAATCAGGACTAAACTGTAAATGTAGAGGAGAGACAGTGCATTTATGTGATTTTCTTTAAACAAACATCAAACATTTAGAAAGTCTCATTATTTTATTGAACGACAGAATTAAATCCGTCCAAACTGAACTCGATCATGAACATTCAGAGACGAGGATTTGGACATTTTTAGCACAAAAAAACAAAAAAACGATACACACGGAGTTTACAAAACGTGTTAAAATATTAAGAGATGACGTGATTGTACAGCAAAAATATTACAAAATAAGCAGCAAATAGTGAAATTACAAGTTTTACACATTTTACAATTTGTTTAAACATTGTTCTTTCTAAAAAATAAAACACACACACAATAAAATAAAATAAAATACGAGTGGAATTATTGTTTCTCTTCTCACCTACATTCAAAATTAGCTTGAAATGCTAACAGCGCTAAAATTAAAAACAAAAACGTTCAGAGTCGTAAAACTTTTCAGGCACTTCATAAAAATTGGTTTTGAAATAATGTGAGTGGAGGATTAGGCAAATATATAAATGTATATATACATATATATATTAAAAATACAATAAAATGAATGAATAAAAGTGATTTAATCTGTGTGTTTTGCGTTCATTTGTTTTTCAAAATAAAAGCAAAAACAAGAAAATGAAAAAAAAAACAACAAACAAACTATTTCCTTCATTATTTGTCTCCAAAAGCAAAATGAAAAAAGCAACAGATAATTTGTTTTTTATGGTGGATTTGATTTTGTGTTTAAATGAAAAATGGAAAAAACGAATAACGGACTAAAACAGGACTAAACCAGGACTGAAACGAGGACTAAGACCAGGAGTGAACCAGGTATAAGACCGGGACTAAAACCAGGACTGAGACCAGCACTGCGACCAGGACTGAACCGGGACCAAGACTGGGACTGAGACCAGTTTAGTCTTGGTTTAGACCTGTTTTAGTCCCGGCCTCGGTCCCAGTCTGGGCCCAATCTCAGTCCCGGTGTCAGTCCTAATCCCCCGACAGTCTACGTGGACCTGTTCCAACACTCTGTCCTGGTTCAGTCCTGGTTTGGTCCGTTATCCGGTTTTTCTATTTTTCATTTAAACACAAAATCAAAAACTGAAAAAAAAAAACAAATCATTATCTGTTTTTTCATTTTGGTTTTAGAGACAAATAATGAAGAAAACTGTTGTTTGTTTTTTTCATTTTCTCATGTTCGGTTTTATTTTGAAAAACAAATGAATGAATGATATTTGGATTATTCTGATATAATATTTGTTTTGTTTTTGTTTTCGTTTTTTTGCCTTGTGTGATCTTTTAAATGTTTTGCACCAGTAACACTTGTGGTAACTTCGCAAACATGAAGTTAAAATTGTAACTTGGAAACGCAAACTAACAGAACTCGGCTAACCCTTTTGCTCGTTACCGCCCGGTTAGCACTCGTGTTAGCATTGTTAGCGACTCATACGCGTGTCGTTAGCTGCTGATACTGAAGTGGTTTTTGACGACTCGGACTGACAAAACAAAACAAATGTCGCAAATATTGAACACCAGTAACACTTCTGGTAAAAAATAATATCGGAAGTTTATTCACAAATGTTGTTTTTTAAAGTTTAAACCAAACGTAACGCACTTGGAGAATGACCTGAAACTTTTCGCTAACTGAGAGAAACGTGGCTGTTTTTCTTACGTCTTTTTTTGAACTATTTTAATTTATTACTTTAAATTTGAGCTTTGAAATTGCCCCTTTTATATGTGAATGTTTTTTTGTGTTGTTTTTATAAGGTGCCGTTTGTGTTTGAATCTGAAAGAAAAAAAAAGTGTAGTTAGCAAAAACTATGATTAGCCAGGTTGCTAACGCTAACAACATACAAAACGGTTACGCGGCCTAACAGCGCAAAGAATAAAGTGAAATATTGTGTAAAAAAATTGTGCCTGGCAAAAAAAAATAAAAAATCTAAAAAAATAAACCCAAAAATAAAAAATAAAAAAAACACATAGATGGAAATATAATTACTACTACTACTACTAATAATAATAAATAAAAACTCTAAACAAAACAAAAAAAGGTATAGATGGAAATAATAATGAAAACTAAAAAAAAAAAAAAACTAAAAAAGTAAAAAAAATCTAATACCCCCCCCCCCCCCCAAAAAAAAACATAAAAAAAAAAAAAAAAAAAAAAAAAAAGCATAGATGGAAATATAATAATTACTACTACTACCACTACTACTACTACTACTAATAATAATAATAATAATAATAAAAACAAATAAACAAAACAAACAAACAAAAACAAACAAAAAAAGGCTTCAAAAGAGAAAATCGTGCCTGGCAAAAAACAACTGCATAGATGAAAATAAAAATAAAAAATGGCTTCAGAAGAGAATTAGCTGTTAATATTTATCTAGAATCATTAAAAAAAAAAAAAAAAAAAAAAAGCAGGGCCAAGTGAACAGACTGTGGTGCGGTTTGTGCTCGTGTAAATCGCTTAAAGCTGCACTGTGGAACTTTCCTGGGTCTGTCACCTGCTTGTCTCCGTGGATACGTCATTGTTTAGACTGGAATGTCCCGGTGTGGCATTAAACGTCTGACATTACTCATTAACGTGGATTTTTATTGACCTAGAAAACCCAGAAAAGTTACACAGTGCAGCTTTAATGACGTTTTTGTGTTGTTTTGCAAGTTCTTTCTGTGCGGTTTCCTCGGCGTCGGGGTTTCAGGATTTTTAAAACGAGTGACTTTACTTTTTTTTTTTTATCACTAAAAATGTTTATAACATGAAGAATAATTGAGATAATTTAAACTACTTTTCAGAAACAAACCCAACAAGAGCACAACCCAAAACTTCCAAAATTTGCAAGCATCTTTCCAAAATAAAAAAAAACTCCAAAGTTGCTACTGATACTTTCCCTGGGGGTGTGATGCTAACTGGAGGCACTGCTCCGTCTGAGGTTTTATTCGACTTTAATCATTAAAGGGCCCATCTCATGCTAAATCAACTTTTCAGTGCTTTCTACCTTCTACGAGTGATGTGTGGGCCTTGTATTTGTCGGCAAAGTGTTTTTTCGATTGATTCTGCTTTTTTTTACAAATTGCAGCGTATTTCTGCCACCCTCTCACGTGACAACGAACTAAAGCTGCTACAACGATGACGCGTTTGACGTAGCAGAAAGCACTTCAACCAGGACTGAACCAGGTCCGGGACCAGAGTGGACTCTGAGTTTTGACTCCCGAGCCTCAGCTTCGAGCTCTGGTCCTGAGCCTCCGGTCTGGTCTTGGTCTGGTCTTGGTCTAGTCTTGTCCTGGTCTCGGTCTGGTCCAGGTCTCAGTCCTGATCTCAGTCCTGATCTCAGTCTCGGTCTGGTTCCGCTCTGGTCCCAGTTTCAGTCCTGCTCTGGTCCCAGTCTGGTCCAGTCCGTGCAGTGCAAAAGTTGCAGTCACGGAAGTCACGTAAACGGGCCATTATCGTTTTGTTTTTTTCATTTTTCATTTAAACACAAAATCGAAAACTGAAAAAACGAATCTTTATCTGTTTTTTCATTTTGGTTTTGGAGACAAATAATGAAGAAAATTGTTGTGCTTTTCTTTTCTTAATTTTGGTTTTATATTGAAAAACTTATGAATGAATGATACACGGATTCTGAACGCGCTGTATCTCCATGATGAATAAAAGTTTATTCCTACAACTATCAGGGTGCACGTCCGTGTCCCCCTCCCTCCCTGAGATGGCGGAGGAAGGGCGCCTCACTCGTCACCTACGTCACGTTTGGAGGGCGGAGCCTGTGCTTTCTCATGACAGGTGGGGGGGAGGAGCAATAGTCATAGTAAGATTTCAGAACTATTGTGTAATGGATGTTCCAAAACCCAAATTGTGCTTGTTTATGTGCAGAAGATACAATGTGAAAAGAGTGATTTTGTATGAGATGGGACATTTAACAGGACCATGAGACGCTCGCTCTGAAAATGTAACGTTTAAGCCAATTTTGTGTTTTTTTCTTGCGTTTTCGGATTACCTTAACATTTTAAAACGTTTTTTCTAATGTTCGCGTTGTGTCGCCACTGAAAATTCCGCCAGTAGAGCTACACGTAGAACACCCCCAGTGTGACGTCACTGCGAAGTATCGATACAGAAGCAGATTCGGCCACTAAGCTCCTCCCAATTTCCCCATCAGACGAAATCTCTCAAACTAAATCACAGTTCAAAACAGAATTCCTTACGATAAAATTTTTGTACATTTTAGCGTTTTTGTTCTCGCTCCTTGTCGTGTGCGTACATTTTAAAACTGAGAAGTGTTTGTTCAAAAGGCCCTTTGTCAAAAATCAAAGCAAAAACAAAACTTTGTGCTTTTCGCCGCTTTTGAATCGCCACCGTCTCCATCTCCGTACATTCGATTTCCTTTTCCAAAGTCGGTTTCGGCCAAACTTTGACTCCACGTCTCAGTGCGTCGCCGTGTCCTGAAGGGAGACAGCAGCTTTGGTTCATTCTGTACATTTTTTGGTTTAACTTGTGTGTATTTGTCTGGGAGAACCTCAAAGTCTTGCACAGTGAAGTTAAAGTAAAGAGTTAAAGTTGGGGCACCTTCTCTTCAAACCATGAACCGACTTGCCCTCAGCTTTCACAGACCTTTTCTCACTCGAATAATATTCACACAAAAACAAAATTTTCAGTAGGAGTGTGCAAAAATATTCAAATATCGATATATATTGAAGTATCGTTTAATGTGATGATACAGTATCGATATCGTGGGCTGCTGTATCGATTTATCACCAAGAGTCATTTTTGGTATGTTTTACCAAATTATTTTGTGAAAGAGCTACAGTTTTGATGAGTAAAATCTGTTAACTTCACACAAACTTTTTTTTTTTTTTTTTCACTTGGCTTCTGTATGTTTTATTTAAAATTATCGTTTTTCTTGTGAACTGTAAACGTAAAATTGTCGGTGCAAAAAAGAAGACAAGGAAAAAAAACAGAGTCCAAATGACGCGTTTTTTTTTTCAACCATGTCAATAGTTAAAAAAAAAAAAAGTATTTTTTAGCTGTTGCTGTAAAGATTTTTTTTTTTTTTTTTTATGAGTTACTGGTGCAAAAATAAATAAAAAGACAAAAAAATAAAATAAAATGAAAAAGTACAGCCCAAATGACATGCTTCTTTTTCAGCAGTAAAAAAAAACACTAAACTTTTTTTTAGCTGTTGCTGCAAAAAAAAGACGACAAGATTTTTTTGAGTTGTTGGTACAAGAAGGAAGACAAGAAAAAAAATCCTAGAAAATAGAGGCCACATTATGTGCCTCTTTTTTTTTTTAACTGCTCAAGGCTTCTGTATGTTTTAGTTAAAATGATCGTTCTTCTTGTGAACTGTAAATGTAAAGTTGTTGGTGCAAAAAAGAAGACAAGAAAAAAAGAGAAAACAGGGCCCAAATGACGTGCCCCCCCCTTTTTTTAACTGTTGACATGGCTGAAAAAAAAAAGAAGACAAGAAAATAAAACTTTAAAAATAGAGCCCAAATGACGTACAGCTTTTTTTTTTTTGTTGTTAATGCTTGCTGCTCAAGGGTTCTGTATATTTGAGTTAAAATGATTGTTTTTCTTGTGAACTGTAAACGTAAAGTTGTTGGTGCAAAAAAGAAGACAAGAAAATTTTTTTTTTAAATAGAGCTGAAATAACAAGCTTTTTTTTTTTTTTTCCATTTGCCTCTCAAGGGTTCCGTAGTTTTAGTAAAAATTATAATTTTTCTTGTGAACTATAAACATAAAAGTCCTAAACATAAGATTGTACCGATAAGTGCTCATATTAAACCCATCGTCACCGTCACGCCTCTGATCCTTTTTATTTTTACTCTTTACACTTGAGCTGAATTTGCGTTTCCAAGGCAACGCCAGAGAAGGTACCCTAACTTTTAAAAAAAACAAAAAAACATGTATGTAAGTTCTTAAATGTTTTTAAATGAACCAAATACTGTATACATGAGTAATGAACGTTAAAAAAAGATCCACTGTTCCACTTCTTTTTTTTTTATCGCACCTGCTCGTCTTCAGAAGAAGTCAACGCTTCACCTGGAATTCTCCATAGTAGAGCATTAAACTTCTCATTTCATAAAAAAAAAATTAAAAATGCGTTCTTAGTGTGAGCAGGGCCACCTTTCCACAGACCCGACACGTAACTTGACTCGACCTTTTGTCGCCGGATACAATAAAAAAGCTCAAACGTAAACGCAGCCGTTACATAAGCGAGCCCTTTGACGCCACGATAAAAAACAACGGGATAAATGTGGTCCTGCGCTGCCCCCTGGTGTTGGAATGTTGCCTTCAGACTTAAACTCTTGATTTTTTTTAAGACCTGTAGTTAAAAAACAAAATAAAATAAACTGAAAATATGATTCACAAAACTAAAGTGAAGCCCAGAGTAATTTGTAACATTAAAAATAACGATAAATTTTTTTTTTCGCGTGACCCCTGGATGTGAATAAAACCATCTTCATATAAAAAGTGAATCGTGTAAAGAAGTGTAAAGGACACAAGTGCTACAAACGCAAATATTTACAAAAATAAACGTGGCGTGAAATCGTGTGCTTTGAAAAAAAAAATCATCAAATGTTTCATAAATATAAATTTGACATGTTTAGTTGTTTAGCTGGAGTTAAAGCTGCACTGCGTAACTTTTGTGGCGAGTTTCGGGACATTATGGCTTTTGTTTTTTAACAGCTCAAAAACACAAAATCCACGTTCTTTACTGTGAGCGGACGCTTCACCTCGCCGCTCTGCAGACGTGACCCGTAGAAGTTAAAAACGACATCCCAGACGAAGCGACGATGTCGCCATGGAGACGAACCCTGCGCCAGAAAAATTCCGCAGCGTTTTTTTAGCCCAAAGTCGGAGTTTCCAGAGTTATTGGCGAGTTATTGGTGTAACTTTTCTTTTTCCTTTGTGGAGATGTTTTGTCGTTTTGTCTGGAATGTTCCACAGCGTGGCATTAAACCTTTCTCCTATCTCCACAGAGACCGAACAGAGTTACAGGTCAGATCTGCGGAGAGGCGACATTCCAGGCGTATCCACAGAAACAACCCCAACGAAAAAGTTACACAGTGCATCTTTATAGTGCCTATGACAGGTTAGACCACTCATTTTATTTTATTAAACACAGTGAAGATCATTAGATTGAAGATTTTGCTAAAAAACAAAACACAAATGACTTTTTTTTCCCAATTTGGCCAAGTTTTTAGGTTTCAAATCATGACATCACTAAGGGGAATCACGTAACTGTTACCTAGAAACCAAATACTATTAGTATTAGTTAGTAAATTGCTTCTTGATTCGTGTAAAACTTTAATTTATATGTACAACAAACATCTCTTAAAGTGTCAGAAAAAATGCATGTAAATTGTGACGAACTCTCCCGTAATTTTCTACTTTTTTTTAGGTTTTCAACTTGTTTTCGCAAACTGCTTCTTGACTGGTGTAAAACTTTAATTTATATTTGGCCAAAATTTAAGATATAAAAACTTAAATCTTTCAGAAAATGACTTGAAAGTAGTGAAATGATCTGTCCATGCAGCAAGAATTTTATTTTACTTGACTAGTGCTCTTAAAATAAATGACCTCTAGACTAGAATTAATCGAAAATAAATCTGAAAACAACACAAATAACCTGACATAAATTTTTAAATATTGGCCAGATCAGAGAAATTTGCCGTGAAAAGTTATAATCCCACCAAATTTAAAAAAAAAAGAAAAAAAAAAGAGGATCGTTAAAACCTGTCATACGCACTTTAAACTTCAAAATAAAATTGTAAACTCCTTTTTTGCCGTAAACCATTTGGAAATTTGTTCTAGGGACTGAAAACTTCAAGTAAAACCGTAAAAAAACACCCAAATGTGAAATGTGAGATAATAAACTTTTAGTGTTAAAAAAAACAAAAAACAGTCCTGACCAAAACTAGTTTGAGAGCTGAAGGTCTCTGAGAAACCTTTGAGAGAGAAAGTGAGATCCATTTTGTGTTTCTTTTTTTTTTTTCTTGAGTTTTCAGAATATTTTGGAACTTTTTTTTTGTCTGTGTTTGTTGAGTGTGCGTCGTGTTGCCGTGGTAACAGTCGAACGTCGCCAGATTTTTGCCGAAATCCCAGAACGCTTCACGGCCGTCGCTTGGTCCAAACGTCTTCGTCAAAGCTGTGTCGTGAAACTTTTCCGCTGGAGGGTTCGTCGGACGCTTTTCTCCGTGGAGGTTTTGTTGTTGCTTCGTTTGGAATGTTCCGCAGTGTGGCTTTAAACGTTTCTATCTGCATGGAGACCAAACCGGACAGATCTGTGGAGTTACAGGTCAGATCTGTGGAGTGTTTGTGAGTCCTTTTTAATATCTAACCAGGATTAAACTAGGACTAAACCAGGACTAAAACAAGTCTGAACCAGGACTAAACCAGGATTAAACCAGGACTAAACCAGGACTAAAACAAGTCTGAACCAGGACTAAACCAGGATTAAACCAGGACTAAACCAGGACTAAACCAGGTCTGAACCAGGACTAAACCAGGATCAAACCAGGACTAAACCAGGACTAAACCAGGACTAAACCAGGACTAAACCAGGTCGAAACCAGGTCGAAACCAGATCGAAACCAGGTCTAAAACCAGGACTAAACTTGGAACATAACTCGGGTCTGAACCAGGACTGAACCCGTTTAATTAAACTCGCACTGTGGAACATTCCAGAAACAGCAACGGCGTCTCCATGGAAACGAGCTGGAACTGAACAAACCCCCAACCAGAAAAGTTACACAGTGCAGCTTTAAAAATTAGTGCATTTCAATCGAGTCACAACAAATCCTTCACCTGGAAATTCAACGAAAATTATTTATATTTAAAAAAAACAAAACAAAACAAAAAACGCTCTTCTGTGTCTTTTTTTGGCAAATCGTTCGTTTATCGTCGTCCGTTCGTAAATAAAACCTAAAAACTTTCCAGGCTTTGAAAGATCTGGTGGAAAATCTTGCGGAAGTGCTTCGGTAAAATACGGGAATGACGTCTTCATGGAAAAAAAATAAAAATAAAAGGAGATTAAATTTAAAAATAAAAATAAAAGACGGCAGCTCAGATGAGTATTTCCACCATGTCGCTGTCCACTTCCTGCTGAGGGGGCGGGGCTTGAGGCTGAGGGGGCGTGGTCACGGGAGGGGGCGGGTGAAGGGGGATTCTACGATCCAACGTGCTGCTATGGAAAACTTCTGAAAAAAAAAAACAAATACAAGAGAGAGGATTAAAGAACTCAACCAGGACTAAAACAGGACTAAATTTGGACTGAACCAGGACTAAAACAGGACAGAACCAAGGACCAAGCAAGGACTAAACCTGGACTGATCCAAGACTGAACTAGGACTAAACTAAGACTCAACTAGAACTGAACTAAAAACTGAACCAGGACTGAACCGGGACTACACCAGGACTGAATTTGGACTAAACTAGGACTAAAACAGGACTAAACCAGGACTAAACCAGGACTAAACCAGAGACTAAGCAAGGACTGAACCAGGACCAAAACAAAACAAAAACACAATGGAACAAGGACTAAACCAGGACTAAACCAGGGACTAAAATAGGACTAAAACAGGACTGAACCAGAACTGAATCAGGACTAAACTCGGCTTGAACCAGGACAAAAACAGAGACTAAAACAAGCCTGACCTAGGACTGAACCAAAACAAAAACAAAGAACTAAACCAGGACTAAACCAGGACTATTCTCTTCTTTTGTACCTGCGATCCTGTCGGGGATGTAGACCGGACTGGGGCTGGAGAGTCTCGCGGGGAGGGTCATGCTCTGGAGGGCCGAGTTCTGGTAGGTCTGGGGACTGGGCAGGACCGGACTCTGTAGACCCGGACTCTGCAGACCCGGACTCTGCAGACCGGGACTCTGGAGACCGGGACTCTGGAGCAGGGCCGGGGTGCTGGACTTGCTCCCATCCTGGGCCTGGCCTTTGTCCGTCTGGGTGCAGCTGTCTCGACTCCCGGTTTTGGAGTGTCCGGCCGTCATGGGGGTGGAGGGCAGAACCGGGGACGGGGACGAGGAGATGGACTCGGCCCGGAGAGAGTCCGGCCTGAACTCTGGACCCAACAGCACCCCTACAGGACACAGGCAGAACTGTCAGTCTGTGAGGAACTCTGCGGGTTTATGTTCAAATGTCATTTCCTCGTCGCAAACAAAACCTGGAGTCGAGTTTTTTTGGAATTTCAATAAGAATGAAAAACAATAATATGGGAAAAAAACAGGACTGAACCAGGATTAAAATGGGACCTAAACCTGGACTAAACCGGGACTAAGCAAAATCTAAACCTGGAACGGAACCAGGATTAAAACACGACTGAACAAGGACTAAACCAGAGACCATAACAGGACTAAACCAGGACTAAACCAGGACTAAACTTGGACTGAACCAGGACTAAACAAAAACTAAACCTGGAACAGAACCAGGATTAAACCAGGACTGAACCAGGACTAAAACAGGACTGAACAAGGACTAATTTGGAACTGAATCAGGACCAAAACTGCAACAGAACCAGGGCTGAACCATGACTGATTTAGGACTAAACCAGGACTAAACCAGGACTGAATCAAAACTAAACCAGGACTAAACTTGGACTGAATCAGGACTGAACCTGGACTGAACTTGGACTGAACCAGGACTAAACTTGGATTTAATTAGGACTGAATTAGGATTGATGTGGGATTAAACCAGGTCTAAACCAGGACTAAACCAGGACTAAACCAGGATTAAACCAGGTCTAAACCAGGATTAAACCAGGTCTAAACCGTGTGTGGTGGTCTGGTTGGCGTCCTCACCCAGGCTGCCCTTCCAGCTGCTGTCCCTCCTCTCCTCGGTGATGGGGGAGCTGTTGAGGCCCAGGCTGTGGCACAGGAGTCCGGAGGTGGTCCCCGTGTTGGAGATGGACATGAGGGACTTGGAGGGCCTCATGGACGGACCGTCGGACTTCAGCGGGTCCTTCCTGGAGCGCTGGTGCAGGACTTTGATCATGGCGTCTTTCTCGATGATCTGAGCGTGAAGGTTCTTTATTCTGTCCGAGTGAAAACAAGAAGATTTAAGTCACTTTTTATTTGCAGGTTCATCTCCTTCTTGTTTCTATGGATACTTAGGTTAGGTTAGGTTCGGTCGTTTTATTCGTACCCGTAGGTAAATTTGTTTTGCAGATTTGAGAGGCAGGTTCCACATTTCACATTTTATTCATCCACAAAATCCATATAAAAACACAATTACAAAATAAAGTGTTACAGAGCTCCAGTGCAGAATGGTTTGTTGCTTAAATAATTAGTTACATTCATCCATCACACTTGGCTAAAATCACAAAAAATATTAAATATGTTAAAAACACATAATCTTAGATAAATAGATTAAAACTGATTCATAAGTACGACAGCAGCCGGAACGAAGCTCCTTCTAAAACGATTCGTTCTAGATCTTGGGACTAAAAGACTCTGACCAGAGAGAAGCAGCTGAAACTCTGAGTTTAGTGGATGTTTCACGTCTCTTAAAATACTCTGTACTCGAGACACTTACAGAAGACGTCCTAGAGACTCCAGCGGCTCTGAGGATGAACAATCACCTACTCGCCCATTTAACCGACTGATTCAGGGAGTTCTTGTTTTTAGCAGAAATGCTCCCAAACCACGAGACCAATGGAAACATTAAAACTGATTCCATAAATGTTTTCTAAAACAGTGTCCTCATGGTTCTGTCTGCACGGTAAAAGGAAAACTTTCTCAGACAGTGAAGGCGCTGGTGCCTCTTTTACACACACCAGAAAAATTATCATCAAAACTCAGCTCAAATTTTGAATAAATGAATGTTCCAAGATATTTATAAGAGTTGACACACTCAACTGACTGCCCCTTTGATCTCTGTGACGTCACACTGAGGCGCTCGCTTTCAAATGTCGACAAGAAAAAGTTTGTGTCTCTGTTTGTGGTGTAAAATGATGGAACCCCTTGAAAATAGAATTAAAACTTTGTTCAAATATACATGTATTCAAAAGGGCAATTAAAAAATTCATTATTTCAAAATACTGTGCAGAAGAAATGAGTGCTTAGTGTATATGTATGTGTATGTATATGGGTGTATATATGTGTATATATAGATATACATGGGTATGTATATAAAGTAGGAAAAAAACTGAGGCACTCAAAAAGTACAAAATAATTCAAAGCCTTTAATAGCACATGACAGATAAAGTAAAAATACGCCAACGTGTTTTGGCCCTTTGGCCTTGATCAGGGCAAACTGAAGGGCCAAAACGCGCTGGCGTATTTGAACTTTATCTGTCATGTGCTATTAAAGGCTTTGAATTATTTTGTACTTTTTGAGTGCCTCAGTTTTTTTCCTACTTTGTATTTGAGACTGGTCCTACACAGAAGACACCAAAAGAACAATTCTGCACATTTTTTGCATATCCAAGTAGCACTCCTGCCCCCAAAGCCTTGCATGGGTATGTATATGTGTATATAATGTGTGTGTATGTATGTAAATATTATATCTGTGTATATGATGTGTACTATATCTGTGTACATAATATACATATATTTGTTGTTGTTAGATTTGTAATGTAATGTGGGTACTGTGCAATTATTGCTTATAATGTACATGAAATGAGAAGTCTATATGTGTACTTTGTTCATTTGGGATGGTAGAAAAAAGGGGTGGGGTTAAATAAGTATTTACTTCCTCCCACTCCTTTTTTGGACACAAGGAAAATTTGGCATAACATTTATTTTGCCTGTTATTATAGCATAGAAATATTTACTTTTTGTGTTATATCTATGTATTTATGTTCTATGTATTACTGTCCGAATAAATATTCATTCATTCATTCACAAAAAGTCAATAATCATATCCTTGGTTTTGGATACATTTAGGTGCAGATACGACTCTTCACACCATTTTACAAAGTCCTGTAAGAGGAGATGTCACTGCTCTGCCTGGAATGTTCCACAGTGTGACTTTAAGCAGCTCTACTTTACATTTATTCAATTAGGTGGTTTTAGAACTCAAGAATACCAAGAAAAACAAACATTCTGACTGAGCGAGGTCAACTCTCCATAGATCTGACCTGTAACCATAGGCGGAGTTTGAGGGGGTCAGAGGTGGCACTGCCCCCCAGTGGCTGAAACATGTCACTACATTGAATCTATAATATGACCAATACAAATACTTACTTTTAAAAAATGTATTAATATTTTAAATATGTCAATAAAACAAAAGGATTGTATGAAATAAAGATGAAATATAATTGAAATATATCGTATCGAATTGAAAGTACTCTGTATCGAGGTTTGTATCGTATCAACAACTTCTTAATGACCCCAGCCCTTGTGTGTAATACAGGACCTTTATTCTGTGCACCTGGATTGTGCTAAAAATGAGAAAACGGCGGTGGTGAGATCCTGACCTGCTCTCCATGTCCAGGCAGCGGCGGTTGGCCATCAGGATCTCCTCCTCCTCCTTCTGGATCCGAGCCTCCACAGACGTGTCGTAGCTGCTGCTCGGGGAGTGACTGATCACTGTGGCCGACGTGTCTCTGCACAAAAACACGTCGGGTTTAAGAAAGAGTTTTAAACCAGTGTTTCCCAACAACTTTTTTTCTGGGGATATTTTAAAAGTCACAAACCTTCACGACCCAAGTCCACAGACGTTATTCATAAACCACAAAATAAAGGTGGATTTGAGTTTTATTGAACATTAATGAGGATATTTTATTGTTGACTGATCGAATCTCTGAACAATTAGTTTTACTCAAGTTTTAAACAATGAAAAACAGAAACTGAATCCTAGTCTGAACCAGGACTAAACCAGGACTAAACCAGGACTAGTCTTAATAACAAACTGTCTGAATGAGGCGGTGAAAAGGTCGGAAAGTCTCAGCTTTATCCTGCGTCTCTTTACTCTGAATTCCGATTGTTCCTAGGATGAAGATTTAAAGAGCTTCTCTGTAAACCAAGAGTTACAAAAGCACTTTTGTTCCAGCAGCCATCAGTGCCCTAAACACGTGATTTTTATTATATTTATATTCTTCTTTTTTTTCTATTGGATTGTTTCTAATGTTCTTTTTTCACCCTGCACTGTTCACTTTTCCAGATGCAGATGTGAGTGTGTCTATATTTATTCATTTTTACTGCTACAGATTTGCTCTGTCAAAGTTCTGTTGCATTTTGGACAATGACAATAAATCTAAATCTACACATGTGAATGAAAGAGACTCACTGACAAAACTGTACAGAACTGAAACAAACTGTAGAAAATATATTCTGTGTCGTGGCTTCAGTGTGTTCCAGTGCTGCACTTGCGGCGCTGTACCTGCGGGTGGCGACAGAGGCCGCGGCGTCCAGGGCGAACTGCCTCATGACGCTCTCCTCCAGATACTTCTGCTCCCACTTGGTCATGTCGGCCTCCAGAGCCAGGATCCGCTCCTCCTTCTCCCTGAGGTGCTCCATCAGCGCCGTGGCGTTAAACTCCGGGGGGACGCTGCCGTTGGCCTGAGAGCCGCCCTGACGCTGGACACACAAGAGGAGGAGGAGAAGGAGGAGAAGGAGAATTTCTTCAGTGAAACAAGGTTAAAATTTTATAATAATTCAGCACACATGTGTCTGACCTCCATGGGACCAAATCATTTTTTCAGAAATCATTAGTTATCATGCATGTTTTTTGTACTTAAAATGTAAAAATATCATGTGGTCCGCCCTCAGCTGCTGAATTTTAAACTTCTTCTTCTAAAAGGACTCTAAATCTAATCAAATGTCTTTCATAGTGGACATCAAATACCATCAAATAAAATCAACATGCTTTAAAAAAAAAAATCTAAAGAAATGTCAACAGTTTGTTTCTATACACTTCATATTACTCAGAATTTAGATAAATATTCCAATCACATTTTTTACAATTCATGTCCATAAAAACACACTCAAAATGCTTCTTATAAATGTTAAACACAGATTTATACAGACCTGACGTTCTAAATATTTGAAAAAGTTCAATAGAAATAAATATTTCTTATATTTAAAAATTTGGGTGTTGAAAATCCTTCCACGTCATTGACCCATTTACATTTACAGAGTCTGTCAGTCTGGACTTTACAGGGTCTGAAACCTGCTCAAGTCCAGCGTGTACAGGCACTAGTGTTCAAGTTTGACATAAACTGATCAAATATAAACATACAGAGGAGCTCAAAACTTTCATTCAGAATATTTATCTTATTCTCAATAGTTTTGAGTTAAGACAGGATGTTCAAACTGCGGCCCAGGGACCAAATGTGGCCCTCAAACTAATTTTTTTGACTCTCAGGCTTCTAGATCAGGGGTCTCCAACCTTTTTTTCTCCAGTGAGCTCCTTTATGAAACAAAAATGCCAGAGAGGTGCTGATTCCAGCAGTCGCAAAGAAACTGAGTAAATATAAGAGCCACGGCAAGACTTGGATGGTGATTGTTAGATGATCCTAAAACATAAACCATTATCCATTTATCGTTGCACCAAGTTAGGCATCAAAATGATACACTTGTAATGGTAATTTATCAGATTTTGCTTATTATCCACAATACATAGAATACACAGCATTCAGAAATACATAGAATTCAATACATAGAATTCAGAAATCCTTCCTTGGAAGGAGGTGGAGAGCGACTGGAAGCTCCTGAGCTACAGGTTGGAGATCCCTGATCTTGGGAAATTGGCAGGTGGTTCATTCTAACTCAGGGGTCATCAAAGTAAGGCCCGACTCCGACTTTCTACGCCCCTTTGACGAGACCCTCTGCCCCCACCACCTGAACTCACCCTATGAGGCAATCCTCAAAAGTGTCATGGCCTTTTTTAAAAATTACTTTTAGGGAAATAATAACACATCTGCATGTATTTTGTTGATTTTGTCAATAAAAAAATGATATTTCTATGAAATAAAAATGAAATATTTAAATAATTATATGATGTATTTACATTTGCTGCCATATTTCCGTCACCTGACAAACTCGAGATCAAACAGTGAGAGTCGACACACGTGCAGAGTTCTGTAGTGCAGTTAACGACAGAAAAATGTCTCGTGTTAAAGTACAAAAAGTTGACAGAGAGCAGAGTTTAAGAACAGTGGATGACAGATTATTTTTGTGTTCAGTGTAAGTTTCGTGCAGTTTGTCTGATGTGTAAAGAAAGTGTGAAGGTTTTCAAAGAATATAATCCATATTGTCAGGGTCAAACAATTCTGACCCCGACCCCCATCACAGTCAGAAGGAATCATGTGGCCCTCAGAGAAAAAAGTTTGGTGACCCCTGATCCGACCTGTTATTAATGCTCATATGTGAATTATCCAGTGTTCTGATCACCAGTCTCGACCGGCGCTCTGCTTCTTCAAATTTTGATTTGCAAAATGATAAAAGTTTGGACACTGAGACACAGCTCTGTACTCCACACCTGCTCGTCCCCTGTGTCCAGTGGACGACAGAGTGGAGTTTGTACCTGCTGCATGCGCAGAGACTCCAGCTCTCTCTCCAGTCTGGTCCTCAGTCTGTGCTCGATCACACAGCTGAATCCGCCAGAGTGCTTTCACAGTGGTGGGCCGTCAGGGCCAGCAAGGCCTTCTCTGCTGGCCTAAACATGCTCAAGAAAAGTAAATTTATGTTATTTTATTTTCATAAATATGTAAACAAAATGATTCTCTATTCTCTGTATTCTTTACGTCATATTATTTCCACTTAGTCGAGTGGCTTCCAATAGTGTTTTTTTTATGGTAGAGTTTTTAACCAATTATATTTCAGCTAGCTTGTGTTGTCAAGTAAATTAAATTTGCTTGAGACCTTCAGAATAAACAGAGCAGGCCCCTGTGCACTGTAAGTGAACGGGCACAGTCAGGTTGCAATAGCCAATCAGATCTCGATTCTGCGTACCAAGGCTAGCTAGAAGGTCTTACGCTGAACTCGACCCGTGCGCGTTCGGTGATTGGATTAGCACTTGCTAGGGCCTGACAAGCGGCAATCTGGAGAATTGAAATAAACACGGAAATTCAAGAGCCAGCTGTATTTTTAACCCATAATGGCCGAAGGAGAAGACATTGATCTGGTTGCAGATCTACTTTCCACGCCATTTTCAAGACGGCCCTTTCAGGAAAAGTTGGATATCGTAAGAAGAGGTCGCTTAACCCCTGCGCTAGCTAGCCTATCCCAGCAAGGAAAAGGGTTTGTCCGACACATCTCAGGTGGTCCAAGCGCGCGCAGAGGCCAGGGCGCGACACAAGACGACCTGCGCGCACACTACCAACGTCTCCACACCAGCATTCTGGACAACATTCTTTCCCAGACACGGACTCGATTTCAGGACCACGAAAGGCTGATGTTTCTCTCCCTTCTCGACCCTCAGCACTTTCAGATATACAGGAAAAAATTTCCACAAACAGCCTTCTCCAGCTTAACACAGAGCCACGGATCATTATTTGATCTTCCCCGACTTAAAACAGAACTGACTGTAATGTATGCCATGGTTGATTTTGAAGGGAGAAGTCCAGCTGATCTTCATGATTTTCTTCGGAGCAAAAATCTGAGTGAGAGTTTGGGACAACTTTACGCACTGGCCTGTTTGGCTGTTACTATCCCTGTATCCACTGCATCTGTCGAGCGGCGGTCATTTTCAACGTTAAAGCGTATTAAAACTTATGCCAGAAACACGACCGGACAGAAACGGCTTTCAGCATTAGCCTCCATGTCCATAGAAAAGGACTTACTGATGGACCTAAAACGCGCCGATAAACTGTACAACAGAGCCACTGAAGTGTTCTTGAGAAAAGAAAGGAGGCTCGACTTTATTTTCAAATAAGCAGACGCTGTTGAGAACTATGTTGGTGAGTAAATGCATTTTATTTTCAATTTCTTCTTGTCATTGCAATATTTTCAGTTATTTGCTGTTGTATAGCCTATTCTCAAAAATGCAAACGATCTCTTAACTTTATTTTCAAAGAATAGTTTGTTTTGTTATTGTCTGGTTGGTGTCTTATATGAAACGGCGACATTGCGCAATTTATTAGACAGACTTGTTTAAGATCACACAGCGTAATTTTGGTGGCATTTTGTTTAGTATTTTTAAATCACCTTTTTATTTTTGACAATATCTGTGAACTTAGTTTCCTAATCTTAATTGTGAATGCATACTTGATGGTTTTAAATGCTCCTGAAATAAAGTGCTGCTTGACTAGCCTATATTGAGGTGAAGTTAATGTATGGGGCGTCACTGAAGGCCTAAGGTTGAAATGCACGGCCCGCCACTGTGAAACAGAATAAACCAGGACTGAACCAGGACTAAACCAGGACTGAACCAGGACTGAACCAGAAAGACTAAACAAGGACTGAACCAGGACTGAGAGTCTGGACTGGCCCGGGGGTGCACCTGCATAGACCATCGGGTGACCGCAGGTGAAAGGACCGGCGCAGCCATCACCAGATCGCACTTTGTGGACACCCTGCTCCATGGGCTCAGGGTCCTCCCTCTTTCTCTCTCAAGTCCAAGTTCAGTCCTGGTTCAGTCCTGGTTCAGTCCTGGTTCAGTCCTGGTTCAGTGTCAGGTGAGTGTGCAGCGCGGTCACCTCCTCCTCCAGTTTGACGACTTTGGCCTGGGCGTTGTTCAGGGCCTGGTCTCGGATCTCGATGTGTCTCCTCTGATCTTCTGTCTGAGACCGAAGAGAGTTCAGCTCCATCTCCAGCTTCTCCTTCTCACGCAGCGTCTCTTTATCTGAAGAAAAAAAACACACACACAAGTCACATTTACATGATGTTTTTTAATTATTCTGAATTAATTATCTCTATTTATCACAGCACATCTTTATAAGAAAGGGTAAAATGGCATAAGAAGTTGTACTGTATTTTCCGGGCTATTACTGAAGTCGTGCTGGGACATCTGAGTGGATTCGTGTATGGGGCGCGCTCTGGATTGTGGGGCGTGCGGCCGTTTTTTGATGGGGTTGGAGGTTTAAGAGCGCGTCTAATAACTCGGAAAATACGGCATTTGTTTTATGAATTCTTTCCAACAACACTCAGAGTCTGGGCAGGTCCAACAAAAGTGAGAGGTGGTTTCATTTTTCAGTTTGTGTCCATTGTCCTTCTAAGATGATTGTTTAGTGGAAAACAGCGATGTAGAAGTTTGTAGCAGATATTTGTGAGGTCATGTTTGTACATTTTTCCATGAAATATTGTCAGTAGAGTCGGGCTTGGGAGGTGCACTTGTGGTGATAGTCGCTCTTTTTCCACCGCGACTCATTATAAGACAAGTTTAACTGAAGATGAAGCTGAGTAAGTTCCATTTGAAAAGTTTTTCAGTATCTTCAGTCACGCCTGCTCAAGCAGACATCTTCAGGTGCGGCCCTGTCCTGCCACTTCCTCAGTTTAGGCTCCACTAATGACATCACTCTGTTACAGCCAATGAAACAGCGGCAGGAGTAACCCTGTCGTCATCTCACTGAACACATCTCAGAATGTCTAAAAAACTAAATGTGAACTAAAACCTGTTCAATTAATACACTTGAATTTGGAAAAATATTGGAATAGATTTATATTTTTGTTTATTAAAATAAAATGTCAAATATTGGTAGGGACTATTTTGTCTTCCCCAAATATTGGTTGTGACACATCCCCACCCCTTGCCAGCAGCTTCAGAAATCACACACGAGGACAAAAAGTCAGGTCACATCTAGGCCTGTAACGATAACAAATTTTGCAGGACAATTAACTGACCAATAATTTATTGCGATAAACGATAATATTGACATTTTGAGACCAATTTCAACTAATATAATGACCATGGAATAAAAAAGCAAACACATCCTCTCAATGATCAATAAACTTTACTTTCTAAAGAACATTTAACACAGGAACTGTACAACAAACAAAAACAACAGGCCTAAATAAAACAGACTTAACGCAGGACTGGTCTAATGTGCCTGTCTGACAGCGACGACTTGTTCACACAAATGTACCTGAATAAACCACTGTTGAACCAAATACAACCAAAGCAATATATAAAATGGATTATTAAAGCTTTGTAACAAAATTGTCCTTAAAAGTGATTTTAGTCACTGACTTATATTGGTGTATAGTGTCTCGTCTCTCTGTGGCTGCTGTTGCGTCGTCGTTTTGGTCATTTAAATGTTCGTATGAACCCACGACACACGATGTTATTTTACTATGAGGGAGTCTCTGTCCTGTCTGGTGTCGTGTCGGTTCGGTTTCGGGATTTTGTGTCCCGGGCGCTAGGCGAGTTCTGTCGCTCGGGTTTGGGTTTATGTCGGCTGCTGAGGTTTGAGACATTTCTTCTCGTCATTTGCCCGCTGCATTTGACGCACGTGGTTGTTGAGACGTGTCCCATTCACTCATGTTGATTCAACATCGTGACTTGTTTTGGCGCACATGGATGAACCATTTTGTTACTCTGACAGCGGCGCCATCTTGTGTTGCTAGCGCTCTGCACAGATGCGCAGACTACACACGCAACCGCTCTGTTGATAAACAGAGCGCACGTTGGTTCAAGCGTCATTACACTTTTTAAACGAGAGGAGTCAGAGAGCGATAGATGTGTCTAACATTCAGCGAGCGAGAAAGAGCGAGAGAGAGCGAGGAAAACAATCAAGTTGCAAATAGTATTTATCGTGGCTGGAAAAGTTATCAAGCTCGTTAAAAGTTATCGTAAGATTAATCAATGTATTGATTATTGTTACAGGCCTAATCACGCCTTCTTGAACACAGGGAGAAGCAAATCGCAGCCAAAACCGCGCAAATTCTCCTGTAGTGTGTGGCGGCCTTCAGTCCAAGTCTAAGGGCGGATGAGCGACACAACAACTTGAAAATCAGCGATTAAAGACGACTGAAACACATGCGAGTCAGTCCAAACAGAACCTCGGAGGGTAAAGGAGAAGGAGACGGCTCTGTGTGTGGCTCTGCTGCTCTACTCACTCTGACAGATGAGCTGGGAGATGGTTTTGCGGTTGTCCTCAGATCCTTCACACTCTTTGGCTGCCAGCTGCTTATTGGCTGTTTCCATTCGCTCTGCGGCAACAGGAAAAGTTTAAACTCACGAGAAACACAGAAAATACTTAAAGCACAATAAAGAGTGTTACGGAGGTCAACAGTGAACGCTCGTGCCTCGCTTCCCGAAGTACATTTTTCTCACAGACTTTTCAGAAAATAAATAATAATGTTAAAAGTTTGAAATTTCAGGGTTAGTCAGCTCTGTGGTGACCTCTAATTTTATTTTAAATCTGTTTCTCAAACTTTATAAACTGGAAACATGGACTGTGTAACTTTTTGGTTGGGGGTCGGTCTAGTGTCGTGGTGCTCGAGACCGGGCTTGATCTCGAGGACGCTTTTTTATGGTCTTGGTCAATCCGTGTGTTATTCGTTTATTCATTTTTCAAAATAAAACCAAAAATAAGAAAATGAAAAAAACAAACAATTTTCTTCATTATTTGTCTCCAAAACCAAAATGAACAACCAGATAACGATTCGTTTTTCAGTTTTCGATTTTGTGTTGAAATGAAAAATGGAAAAAACGAGTAACGGCCATTTCCCATTTACCTGACTTCAGTGACTGTGATGCTGGACTTTTGCACTTTTTTTTTTTTTTTTGCAACCAGGACTAATCCAGGTCCGGGACCACACCGGAGGCTCAGAGCCCACTGCAGGGCCGGAGCTCGAAGCTGAGGCTCGGAGTCAAAGCTCGGAGTCTGCTCTGGTCCTGCTCTGGTCTCAGTCTCAGTCTGGTCCCCGTCTGAGTCCTGCTCTGGTCCCGCTCTGGTCTCAGTCTGAGTCCTGCTCTGAGTCCCGCTCTGGTCCTGGACCTGGATCAGTCCTGGTTCAGTCCGTATGCAGCGCAAAAGTTCGGCATCCCAGTCACGGAAGTCATGTAAATGGGAAACGTCCGTTATTTGTTTTTTCCATTTTTCATTTAAACACAAAATCTAAAACTGAACTGTTTTTTTCATTTTGGTTTTGGAGACAAATAATAAAGAAATTGTTTTTTTGTTTTTTTTTCTTATTTGTGGTTTTATATTGAAAAATGAATGAAAGATACACAGATTTTGGACTCGGTCTCAGACTCGGGCGCAGAGTGTTTCAGTGCAGTACAGTTTGTTTGGCTTATTTTAAGGTTAAATGAACATTAACCAGATAAAATGGAGATAGATTCATAAAAACATTGATATATTTGTGCCAAAATAGCTGTAAAATACAAATAAATGTAGAAAGTGACAAAGCTGGTCTCGATTTGGTCTCGGTCTTGGGAACCTTTGGTCTCGGACTGGTCCTGGTCTTGATTAGTGATTAGTGATTAGTGCGGTCTGGACTACAACACTAGGTCTGCCACCTGCTTGTTTCTATGGATGGATGGATTTCTGGTGGAGAGTTCGTCAAACGCTTTCCTCCGTGGTGATGTAATTACTCTGCCTGGAATGTCTCACAGTGCAGCTTTAAACATCTCTACTTTACATTTATTCAATTACAGGAGGATTTATAGCTCAAAAATACCGAGAAAAACAAACATTCTGACTGTGAGCGGCATCGCCTCTCCACAGATCTGACCTGTAACTTGCTCTGTTTTGGTCTCCATGTAGATAGAATAGGTTTAATGCCGTATTGTGAAAAATTCCAGACAAAGCAATAACATCAGCACGGAGGAAAGTGTTTGACAAACTCTCCACCAGAAAAGTTACACAGTGCAGCTTTAGTACCGTTTTGATCTGCTCACTGTTGACCTGCACGTGTGACACGAGCCCGCAGGGGGCGCTGAAGTCTCACCTCTCAAGTCTCTGTTGAAGTCGTGGAGGCGTCTCACCTCCAGCTCCAGTTTGTTCCTCATGGTTTTCTCCAGAGCTTCTCGTTTGGATGAAGATTTGGCCAAGTTCTCGTAGGCCTCCGACACCAGCTGGATCTCCGTCTCCAACTGAAACAACAAACACAACAGACGCTTTAACTCGGGTCCTGACCACACTTCTGGAGACAGTGTTGGGAAGGTGACTTTTAAAATGTATTCCCCTACAGATTACAGATTACATATCCCAAAATGTAGTTTGTAATGTAATCTATTAAATTACTTAAAGTGAGTAATGTAATCTGAATACTTTGGATTACTTGATTTGCTGTAGAGAAGCAAAGACGAGAAAATCTTAACATAAGATGTTTTATCTGCTAAAAGAAAATAAAAAGGCCAAGTCTTTACTGAACCAAATTAAAAATATTATTGATAGAAGACGAGGAGACACGTCCACACAGCAGGATTTAGTCCTGTTAAATCCTGTTTGAGACTTGGTTTGGACCTGGTTTTAGACCTGGTTTAGTGTCCGGCAATGAGTGGAGCTGCCAAAAAAAAAAAAAAGGGATATAGCCCCAAATGTGAAAACAGGAAAATACCTCTGTGTAATCCATTTATTTCAACAAAGTAACTGTAATCCAATTACCACTCACTGAAACAGTAACTAGTGGTTCTCACTTCCATATCCTTAACAAACTGGTTTGAATATTTGCTTCATATAGTTTTCTACCATATGGTACAAGATTAGGTTGAAAAACCTCTTACTTTTTGACTCATGAGATTTTTTATGAAGAAAGGTCATGGTAACGGAGGGAAAAGTAACAGAGGGAAAATTGTACAAACAAGTAGAAGGTGCAGGATTTTACATCATTTGTCGCTTTTTTCTTCTGAATACTTTAATATTACTTCAAAATGAAAGGAAACTATTTCTATAAAATATGTCAGTCCTTCCAAGCAAATTTTTTATCATTATAAATACATATATATATTTTTTTAAATCCTGTACCTTCATCAACAGTTCAGAGATGGAATAACACAAGATATGATGAAATACATCCAACCTATTGACATGATTTTCAGGTCTTTGAAATTTGGGAAATAATTTTTCTTCCATGTTTCATACATGGTCTGTTTAAAACATATGGAACTTTAGAACCAAAAATGGTACAGAAAAAAGGTCAACAGTTTCATAAACTAGAGTACATATGTATCTGTTCAATACATTTTTATATCAGATGCATTAACTTGAATTTTTGGCCTTGTTGTTTACTTCTACTTGACTGGGCCCTTTTATTTATTCATGCATTTATTTACAACAACAGTAATTACCATGTAAATATGACAGATTAGAGGAAAAATGCAAATTTCCATCTGTAGTCCTGAAGCATGTGACACAGAAAACAAGAACACAAAACAAGAATACAAAACAGTTACACAGAGGTCACGTTTACACTGAAACTAATCACCGTATCGGAAACTATTTACATCCAGACGTCATTTTTGTGTCCACAGTCCTTCCCTATCCACACAGCTTTGAGCATATTTGTTTACATGTTACAGAAAGAAAACTTAAAACCACATGACTCATTTGCATAAACTAAGCGCTCCTTCAGTGGAGGAGGCGTGAGTCCATAAAACATGAGTTTTTAAAATGAACAAACTGAGTAAACTTTACATATCCTTATCTAAAACTCTACTAGAATGGGCTTGTCACTGATTAACTTAAGACACTAACACTAAGGCATAGCATGTAACCTTTTGTGTCAAGAAAAAGATCAACTTAGAAGCATGTTATTTTATTCATTATAGATGTTTTTGTTGCACTGAAAAACACAGAACATGTGCACTTACTGTGAGGCTCATCTCCACAAAGATGACTTTTATTTGGCGTCGTGCGGGGCCTCCTCCTGTTTGTTTTCCTGGAAATGTTGTTGTTTATGTGGCACAGTGTAATGTTACAGCTGATCTATGTACTCATGGACAATGCTGACCTCCATGAACCTCCAGAACTGTGATCAGGACCAGAGTTAAACCTCCTGGCAGAGTTGGAGAGTAACAGATTATATGTACCGGCGTTACGTAATCAGAGTACAAATTATGAGTAACTGTATTCAGTTACAGTTATCACTGTTTGTATTTATTGCCCAAAAAGTGCTGCATATTTCATTCCCTCCGTTACCGACATGAGTTTTTTTAAATTTTTTGTCAACAACTTGAAAGAATATCACAGGTTTAACTTGACCCTGTTGGAGTGTAACTCTTTCCTACATTCTGATACTTTACTTATTTCAATAGTCCCTCTAGTTTCTGAATAAGAGACATTTGAATGTCAAAAATCTGCCCCTGTTTTCCTCCGTTACTGCTTGACCAGACCCAAAAGTACAGTGTGATGTATCTAACTTTAAAACATAACCATGACCTTTTCTGGTTCGTACCTTGTGCAGTTTGGTGACCTTCTCGCGGCACACCTCCATCTCCTGCCTGAGCTGCCGGTTCTCCTCCGTCAGGACGTCCACCATGTGATGCGCCCGGGACATCATGGCGAAGGGCTCCCCCTGCAGGCCGGACAGGGAGTGGGGCTGTGGGAACATGCCGTGGGGAGGTCCCTGGTTCTGGTGAGGAGCGGGGCCCTGGTGGTGCATCCTGGGAACGAATCGGTCAAGATTAAATCGATTGTGAATGAAAAATAAATAGAATGTTGATTAAAACGTTGGCCGACGAGCTCTGACGATATTTTAGAGACAATGTTCAGGGCTGATTTTGGTTATTTTTACCTAATTTATCTCATTTAAATTGACTGTAAACTCACCCTCTCCCTGTTTAGTCACGTTTTGTGCAGTTACATCGTCATATTAAAGTGTTAAATTAAAGCTTTGTGTGAACTTTTAGGCAGCAGGTCAGTGAAAACTAAATCTTATCATTATATTTAGGATTTTACTAAACATTTTGCACTTTTTTCAATTTATACTTACGAGACGAAATGTGTTTCGTAAGTTTAAAAATTGTGCCTAAATTTTGTCATCAGTTTGGGACTCTAAAATAGAACTCTGGTGTAAAACTATAATTTATATTTAATATGACGTTGTGACTGCTCTGTTGTAAAGTGTTAAAATAAAGTTTTGTGTGAACTTTTAGGCAGCAGGTCAGTGAAAACTGAATATTGGTTTGTGCTGGAAAATCTATAAAGCCTCCATTTTTGAAAACCATGTTGTCTTGTAATTTTTTAGGACATATTAGCCGCGGTCCTCTGTCTGGTTAATTCCCCTTTCAACAGATGTAACAAAAGTAACAGATTTAAACTCTCATGTGTGCCAAAAAAATGTTTCAGAAGAAGCGCCTCCTGGACCTCCAGAGGATAATACACAGTAGATCCAACTCAGTGGTGCTCTTTGAGAAGGGAAGTCAGTACAGAGATGCAAAAAACCCAAGGCACTCACTGTTTACAATAAAATGCCTTTATTAGTTTACGGGACGTCTTAATGGACAACTTACAAAGTCCCGACGTGTTTCAGCCTATGGTTTTCCTCAGGGGACAAACAGAACTGAGAGCAAATCATGTGAATTAAATACAAAAACCCACCAACAGGTCTGCTCCACCTGGAAGAGGAGGAGTGGAGACTCACCTGTGGACACCACCCAATAACGCCACAAGATGGCAGTGTTAAAACAGTGGGACATCATAAAGAATATAAATATAAATATACTATGCAGTATAAAAACACCATGCAGTTATAAAAACACAGAGAAGTCCAAATCTTCATTAAGCCCAGGATATTTTGTTGCCTGCGATTTATAGATCCAATAGGTTTCACATTGTTTGAGTTGAGCAATCTGGTTTCCTTTTCACAAAGAGTCTGGTGTATGGTCAGTTCCATGTACCTGCAGATTAGATGGGTTACTGTCATGAAAGTCCAAAAAGTGTCTGGCCATGCGATAGTTGGTATTGGCTGTGCAGATTGCATATTTATGCTCAGCCAAGTGCTCTTGTAGGCGCCTTTTGGTCATCCCTACATAGAACACCTTGCAAGTAGTGCAAACAAGTCTGTAAATTACAAAAGTGGTTTTGCAACTGATAAAATGTTTTATTGTATATTCTTTTTGTGAATGGGAGTTCAGAAATGACTTGGTTTGACATATGTTAGACATTTGTGCCACTTCTGTTGCACTTTTGAACAAAATGTTTGTTTTATGTTTTAATGAATGATGTTGAGTGTCTAATTGTTTTAACTCCCCTTCCCTTGGCTGCCCAGGCCAACACTGTAAATAAGAATTTGCTCTTAATGTTTTGCCTGGTAAAATAAAAGTTAAATAAAATAAATCTGCACAACAAAGGCAGAAGTCACTTTATGGTGCAATGGTGCAATAACTGTTTATTTGTGCAATAACTGTTTGTGCAATAACTGTTTGTGCAATAACTGTTTGTGCAATAACTGTCTGCACAATAGGGCTTGTGCAGTAACTTGGACACTTTATCATTGTCCAGTGCACAACTGGACAATGGACATTAACACTGGACACGTGTATCTTAAGACGGTTGTCTGATTGTTCCGTGTGTATGAGTGTGACTGTGTTTTTAAGCTGCGGGCAGTGAGCCCAAGACAAATTTCCCAATAAATAAAGTTGATCTTATCTTCAACTAAATATTTTGGGCTAAAATACATTATAAAGAAAAATGTAAATAGCTACTCATAAATCAGGCTTTAAAGGTCCATATGAACACTGTGTTCTGATCTATGTTCTAATGTCATTTCCTCGTCATAAACAGACCTGGAGTTGTTTCATTCACACATATTTGTGCGTTTTGTGGCTTTTAGTAGCACACCATGATTTAGCCTTATAGAATCGAATTGAAATATGTCGTATCGAACCAAAAGCTCACAGTATCGAGGTGTGTATCGTATCAGAAACTTCTTAATGTTACCCAGCCCTGTCCATCAGCATTAAACACAATAAATAAAAGCGTAGCGTGGTGCTGTACCTGGGTGTGGAGCCATAGGGGTCGTGCGGGTACCCCCTCTGCTGCTGCTGGGGCTGCTGCTGGGGGGGCAGGGGGCCGTAGGGTTCGGGCTGCAGGGTCCCGGGGCGTGGGGTGGGGGGGTAGCTGTGGTCCTGGGGCTGGTGAGGGGGCAGAGGGTGAGGGGGGAAGCCTGGGTGAGAGGAGCTGAGCAGAGAGGACAGGGCCGAGGCCTGGGCCCGGGACAGCGAGCCCATGGAGGTGACGGAGGAGGTGGGGCTGTGGTGGAGGCCGGCGCGGTGGGAGTGACCCTCTTTAACCGACCTGCGGAAACAAAGAAACAGAAACAAATCAGAGAGATGGTACGAGATGAAATTCAGCTGGATAATTTCATCCCTGTAATCTCTTCTGAACTAAAGGTAAAAGGAGCTGTTCACTTGAAAACTACAACTTCATGACATCACAACGTGGAACAGAATATTTTGAGCTTTGGAGATGTAAACAGACAAATAATAAAGAGTTACTCAAACATGTGTATGAAACAAAACACAACTCCAGGTCTGTTTTTGTGAAGAGAACAACATTATAACATGACTTATCGACGTGTATCGTTCATTCGTTTTTCAAAATAAAAGCAAAAATAAGAAAATTAAAAAACAACAATTTTCTTCATTACTTGTCTCCAAAATCAAAATTAAAAAACAGATAATGATTCTTTTTTTTTTTTTTCAGTTTTTGATTTTGTGTTTAAATGAAAAATGGAAAAAAGGGATAACAGTCGTTTCTTGTTTCCGTGACCTGGAAGTGACACATTTACATAATTTAAGCAGAAAGTGCCATAGACATACATGTATATGCCTATGGAAAGTGGAGTTAGAGCAACGGGAGTGTCTCAAAATCTCAGAAAAATTATTATCAATTTATAATTCTATGTATTTGTGTAGTAAAATATTAACAGTTTTCAAGATAATTACTAATTGTAACAGTTCATTTCTCTTTCAGTGTAGCTGTTAAAATTCTAATTGGAACAAAAATTATTTCCATTTCTTGTTTTTCTGGTGAAACACAACACACTGATCTACAGTCACACAACGAACACACACACAACTCAAGAAAAATGATATTTTCGTTCCACACTAGTAAACACAGACATTCTCATGTGTGACCAATACATGCACCAAGAATCTCGGACTTGCACAATTCTTACTGGGAAGGATTTTCAGAAAAAGTGAGCATCAAACCTCCATGTTTGTTTTCCCAGTGGGATGTGTCTATTGTCAAAGTCGATCTTTTCAAGTCTTTTGAACCATATCACTTTTGTTTCTGGTTCTGATATTGTCATATTTTAGTTTTGGGATTTGGACATCGTTAATTGTGTGGTTGTTGGATCCTAACAGCAGAAAATGGCTCGAGAAATGTGTTTGCGAACTCCATAAATGCAAAAGTGAATCAGATGTGTGTGACTCAAACCTCCGTTCAAACTGTTTCTCTTCCCAACGGAATTGAAAAATAGTGAAAGGTGAAGGTGATGGGCAGGATTGATCCACAGGAAGAACCAAAAAAGAAATGTTTGACTGACTAAGAAATCATCCTGAGTTTACAGAGAACATTTTGTATGTGGAGCGACGACAAAGTAAAACCCCGATCCCTCGCTCCACCTTGGTTACGAATTTAAAAAGTCAACATCAAAGTGAAAGGCTCCAGCTGTTCACAAAGAAACACCTTCCACTGCAAAGAGACCAAGACGTGATGTTTCTGTAAAACCACAAGAACAAGAAAGTGCAGCTCAGTCTGTTTGTCTTCTGCTCCTCTCACTTAACAAACAGGGTTTTGTTTTGAAGTTAAACGTGTGATATTCTTTCAAGTTGTTGACAAAAAATGTAAAAACTCATGTCGGTAACGGAGGGAATGAAATATGCAGCACTTTTTGGGCAATAAATCCAAACAGTGATAACTCTTGGTTCTCACTTCCATATCCTCAACAAACTGGTTTGAATATTTGCTTCATATAGTTTTCTACCATATGGTACAAGATTAGGTTGAAAAACCTCTTACTTTTTGACTCAGGAGATTTTTTATGAAGAAAGGTCATGGTAACGTAGGGAAAAGTAACGGAGGGAAAATTGTACAAACAAGTAGAAGGTGCAGGATTTTACATCATTTGTCGCTTTTTTCTTCTGAATACTTTAATATTACTTCAAAATGAAAGGAAACTATTTCTATAAAATATGTCAGTCCTTCCAAGTAAATTTTTATCATTTTAAATACATTTAAAAAAAAAAAATCATGTCCCTTCATCAACAGTTCAAAGATGGAATAACACAAGATATGATGAAATACATCCATTTATTGACATGATTTTCAGGTCTTTGAAATTTGGGAAATAATTTTTGTTCCATGTTTCATACATGGTCTGTTTAAAACATATGGAACTTTACAACCAAAAATGTACAGAAAAAGGTCAGCAGTTTCATAAACTAGAGTACATATGTATCTGTTCAATACATTTTTATATCAGATGCATTAACTTGAATTTTTGGACTTGTTGTTTACTTCTGCTTGACCGGACCCACTGGTTCAAAAGACTTGAAAAGATCGACTTTGTCAATAGATGCATCCCACTGGGAAAACAAACATGGAAGTCTGATGCTCACTTTTTCGGAGGATCATTCCCAGTATGAATTGTGCGATGACTGGACGTCCGAGTTTCGTGATGCGTCAATATGACACAAATGTTCATGGGCCTGTACAGCTCATTTCATTGTGGATATAACGACGAGGGCGGGTTCCAGTGTAATGAGGTAAAATTACCTATTTCAAAAATGACAAATCACTCATAAAAACGACTCGATTACGGCGACGTGAGTAAATGTAATCCGTCACTTTCCGCCCCGGTCAACTTTCAGCATAAAGGTGAGAGTGACTGCGGAGCGCGTGACGTGTAAATGTGAAGATTTGAAGTGTGAGAGACTTGTTTAACAGCTCACATCACCTGTTGTACTTTCAGATAAGTCAGTCCTTTATAGTCGGATTATGAGCGATTAAAAGTCAGATTTAAGTTTGACAAAAGCCTCAGACGGAGTGCGCTCGCTACGGTTACAGCCTCACACCCCCGGGAATGTTGATGACGTCAGCCGCAAAGTATCAGCGTCGTCACCTAATCGTTTTTTTTATCTAAATTTTTCCATTTTATGCCGTGATATAAAAGATTCTGGCTTAAACGTGTAAAGAGAAGATAAATTTGTTAACTGAGTTTCGTTGCTAAAGTTGTGACCAGATTTTCAAAATAGAAAACCGGGACACTCTAAAAAAAAACCTTAAAAAAAACAGAAAATTGTGAAATGAGTGCGTGATTAAAGAAAATTGTTCAGCACTCGGCACTAATAATTCAGAATATTAATCCGTGTGTCATTCGTTTATTCATTTCTCAAAATAAAACCAAAAATAAGAAAACGAAAAAACTACGATTTTCTTCATTATTTGTCTCCGAAACCAAAATTAAAATGAAAAAAACAGATAATGATTATTTTTTTCAGTTTTCGATTTTGTGTTTGAATGAAAAATTGAAAAAACGGATAACGGACTAAACCAGGACTAAACGAGGACTGAAACTGGACTAAACGAGGACTGAAACAGGACTAAAATGGGACTAAACCAGGACTAAACCAGGACCGAAACAAGAACTGAAACAAGGACTAAACCAGAACCGAAACAAGAACCGAAACAAGGACTAAACCAGGACTAAACCAGGACCGAAACAAGGACTAAACCAGGACTAAACCAGAACTGAACCAGGACTAAAACAAGACTGAACCAGGTCTAAAACAGGACTAAACGAGGACTAAACCAGGACTGAAACAGGACTGAAACCAGGACTAAACCAGGACTAAACCAGGACTGAACTAGGACTGAACCAGGACCGAGTTGGGAACGGCCCGGAGGTGCGCCTATGTAGACTATTGGGTGATCAAGACTGAGACCAGGACTAGGTCCAGGACTGAGACCAGAACTGAGACCAGGACCTGTTTTAGTCCTGGTTTAGTTCCGGTTTAGACCTGTTTTAGTCCTGGTTCAGTCCATTATCTGTTTTTTCATTTTGGTTTTAGAGACAAATAATGAAGAAAATTGTTGTTGTTGTTTTCTTTTTCTTATTTTTGTTTTTTTGATGAACGAACGACACACAGATTTATAGTCACATTTTCTTTGTGTTTTTGTCATTTTTAAGCAGCTTTCCTGTATTTTACCTAAACAAATGTCAATGTGCGTCTCTCTTTACTGTTGGCAGGGATCAGATTCGTCAAAAATAGGGACTCCGGGCACATTTCTTGTATAAAACTGTCAAAACAGAGCACAAGGAGCAAGATGTTTTATTTTTTCAGCGCATTATAGTTTATGCAAATGAGTCATGTGGTTTTAAGTTTAGTTTCTGTAAAACGTAAACAAATGTGTCAAAGCTGAATTAAACACGTTATAATCTCAAACGGGCTGATGGTTTAAATGTTGTTTATTGTTAATATAAAGTTTATTTACGCAGAAGATTTAAAATTAACTATCTACCTATTTTGTTATATCGAAATATATATTGTATATCAAAATATCGCTTAATATATCACGATATATTTTTTGCTCCACATGGCCCAGCGCTAAACTCACTGTCTTTCATTTTAGGTTCTGTGCTCAGCCTGACTTCAGACTAATAAACGCACAAACCAAATTGACTTTTATTTTATTTTTCTTCAGTGTCAGTGCGTCCTGATTGTGTGAAAAAAAAAAAAGAAGTGAATTTTGTGACATTTGGAGGTTCAAACATGAAACGACAAGACTGGACCTGAACTAAATATTTGTTGAGTTAGAAAAAGAAAAAAGAGAGAGATCTATTTTTACACACAAATGTACAGTCACCTGCCGGGTTCACATTCACCTGCCGGTATTCACCTGCCGAGCTCAGATTCGCCTGCCAGATTCAAATTCACCTGCCCTGTCACATTCACCTGCTCTGCTCAAATTCACCTGCCAGATTCACCTGCTCACATTCACCTGTCAGACCCACCTGCCCTGCTCACATTCACCTGTCAGACCCACCTGCCCTGCTCACATTCACCTGTCAGAACCACCTGCCCTGCTCACATTCACCTGCCAGATTCACCTGCCCTGGTCACATTCACCTGTCACATTCACCTGTCACATTCACCTGTCAGAACCACCTGCCCTGCTCACATTCACCTGTCAGACCCACCTGCCCTGGTCACATTCACCTGTCACATTCACCTGTCACATTCACCTGTCACATTCACCTGTCGTCTCTCTCTCTCTCTCCGAGTCGT